TCTGCCCGGGTCCATGTACAAAATTGTGAGGAGGGGGGGGGGGGGGGGGGGGTCCAAAAATCGTATACTAGGACAGACCCCATGCTTAATTTCTGAGATTTTTTTCAATGTTTTCATTGACATTGTCACGTTCATTACAATTGTTATACGATAAATTTAAGTTTCAGATGTCAAAGATCAAAGAAGATATATGAAATGGAAAAGGCTATGAACCTTCCAGTAGGATGGAAGAGGGGTCGGGGGAGGTTCCCCACCTTTATTACTCCTGTAGGGAAGCTACTACGGGGTTGTTCCAACGCTATTCTAGAACTATCCGAGACTAAACAGTCGGATCATTACATTCAACTTCTCAGGTATTTAAGTGATAATTTTATTAAATCTTGTATTTCAGCTTTTTCGCAGTATCTACTTTATTTCCCTTGCATTGGTCTAATTGTTGGGGTTTTAAAGGTCCAGTTAGAGCAGGGGTGTGACGGTGCTTCCTGCGCCTGACGGCGGTCTTGGGTGTCCACATTGGGGCCTCTTGCAGATTTCACTTCCTTATGAATCTTTAAGTGAAATTTTGTTACAATTTGAAATTCTGAGGTCCTCATAAACCCTTGTAAAAAATATTAAGGAAAGATACATGATACATCTGTGCTCAAGTTTACCTATTGGAGTCCAGGTAAGTTTGCTACAAACATAAGAGTGAGCATAAACTCTTTCTTCGGCTCACCTCAATTAGCACAGATTGATATCTTATATATATTTCAGGTAGATAGTTTAGACAGGGGTCAATCATGAACTGAAAACACAATAAATCAGTCCATCCATGGTTATGTTAATTGCTGATATATATTCCGGGTAGATAGTTTAGACAGGGGTCAACCGTGAACTGAAAACACAATAAATCAGTCCATGGTTATAATAAAATTGCTAGACTTAATAATAACTTTTCTCCAGGTTAAACACATTTAAATTAATATAAATTAAAAAGTTCACTTACAATGTTGATTTGTCCGGAGGTTTGTAGCCTCATAGTCCATCTAGATTGCACCGCAGTCTCGGTTCGAGGACTAAAAATGAGCTATTTATAGTTGAGTTGAGATTTTTATATGTCTTTTCAAATATCCCTTTTCAAATATTAACTTTCTCACATTGAGCAAAAGGATCGTAATCTAGATTAGTTCCTGTATTTGACATATAGGAGGTGCGTTAGATCAGGGATACAGTATCAAGATGTAGCGAATCCTGTTCAGGGTCCTTCCGTCGGAGGTATCGGAGGGGAGCAGAACAACTAAGTCGTGGTTGTTTAAGATCTTGTATACATTGAGAGAGAAACTACTCTGAGAGACTGACAGAGAAGCAAAGTACTCAAACCAAGCTTCCAGAGACACTGGAACACTCAGCCTGCGTTAAGATCGGAGTATTATATACGTGGATAGAGAAACTACTCTGAGAGGTTGACAGAGAAGCATGAAACTCAAGCCAAGGGTCCAGAGATACAGGAACACTCAGCTTCCATTTAAATCGGAGTCTTGACAACAGAGGTCTAATTAAAATTCGTTATACGGAGTTCAGAAGCTCAATAGTTATGAGCTTTTACTCATCATCTTTATCATGGCCTACCCCAAGACTCAGGCTGTCAAGATTAGTAGGTGAAAGGAGTGGAAAGCATCTTCATCCTCGAGACCAAGGATACAGAGAAGATTAGCTCCGTGAGGCAGCGGAGAGGTTACAGCTCTTGAGATCAACAGGAACTCAGAGCCAGCCTAGCATAAGAGTTGTTGAAGTGGTTGTGAGAATTTCGGATTTTTGAATGTTCATAATTATTCACCTGGTTCAGAACGTGGAGACGTGCACGGAATTTTTGAGGGAGGAATTACAATTATCACTACAAATCTAAACATATTATATGAATAATTTTCCATCATTCTTTCCATCATAAAATCATACTTAAATTGAAGATAAACTCTCAAATTATATTAAACATTTTGATCATTAAGAGTAATGGTAGATTTGATGTATTTGTAGAGATTTGTAGGATTAGTGGATTGAAGATAGGATTTCTCTGTAGAACAAGCTGGAGAACATCTCGAGTATGAACACCCTGAACACATCATAGTTCATAAAAAATCCTCAGATCTTACAAAATCTTAGGTCAAAAATTGTCATGTCAACTAACTTAGAATGTCAGCTAGATGTATGGTTGTTTCAATATTGTTTGACGAGTGAAGGAGGGGGGAGTCTCCGCCAATTTTATTCTGAACCTAATTAAGCATCTTATGATGAATAGTAATCTTGTATAAATATGATATTGAACTGAATTATAGCGCTTGTCGTAATTTTAAGCTTTACCTCCACTTGAAGAGGGGAATGCCAGATCACAGTACGGTACCCTTGAATCTTTATCTGACCTGTAATGTAAAAGCTAACGTCGTTTTCTTACTGAAAAGGTGTTTATTTCTGTGAATTTCTTCATTGTTTCTTTCGCTGTGAACTAGAAATGAAAACAAACGTTTTAAATAAACAAAATATGCATATCTATTTCATACTTGATCTGACAAAGCTCTTAAGGGTACCTTTGTAAATTAGGAGGGTAACTTGGAATTACGCTTACAGTAAATTTAAACTATTATTAAATTGAGAAATGAGTTGGAGAACGAAGGTTGGAAGAAATCAGATTTACTTCCATTAAACTGGTTCTTGCGGCAGTACAGACAGATGATACAGGGAGCTCCGAAAAACACATTAATTCTGCTTGCTCCAGATGGACGTCGCTACAGGTAGTATTGTCAATAGTTTTGGTTCGTTTTTTTAACTTGTCAAGATTTTAAAACTCTTATTAAGTTAACTAGTTTGCTCCAGCCAAACTTGACAATATTTTTTATTAAAAAAATATAAACGATCCGAAAAAGATCTCTTTAACACTTTCGTTTTTGGATCGTTTTGGGTTCGTGGTTATTTTTTTTTGCTAATATTTTTCGTCAGGATCTAATTTGGCACAGCGTAAGGACACAAAATGTTAAGAATAAATAATTTTGAACTTTTCTTTCACTAGAATTGTGACATGAAGGAAATATTTGCAATAAACGAACCAACCTGATTCACATCACTAGCTTCAGTAAGGGGTTCTTTTACTTCCAACCAAACACCTAACTCCCTTCTCAATATATATTTTTCCTAGGGGGGTGGGGGGATGGTTGAATGAAAGAGGACTTCAATTTAAAAGTACTTTTACCTTTTTATTGTCACTTTTCCGTAGAAATTCTCTACTCATATTTATGGCGGGCATAAATTTATCATAAAGGATATTTTAGAGAACGACCTTAAATAACACTAATAACAATAACATTATAAAATTTGATAATGTGTCGTCAGTATTTTTTGCTCTGAAGATTGATCGCCTGCTGTTAAATTACTGTTTAGATCTCAGAAGAAAATATTGCATGATCACCCAGAGATCTCACCAGCAGAGAAAGCAAATATTCATGAACTCTTCAGGGTTAATTCCATCAGAGAACTCTCAGAAGAAGAGATGAAAGGTTATTTTTTAAAACACGATTTTTATTTTAATATTGTGAAAAGTCTTTTTAATTGTTTAAAAAAATTATTTCTGAATTTATTTAATCGTTATCAATATATTTGCAAAGACATGAAAATGTTTAGATTTTTTTCATCTTTGTAAAATATGTTTTTTTGAGAAATGGAAAACTCTGGCGAAATCTGGAGATCTGGCGGAAACTTAGTCCCTCCAAACTGGAAGTGCAGGGATAAGAAATATTAAACTAAAATTAAAAAAATTTAATATTGTTATTTCATTAATGCTGCTGTTATCAAACTAGCTTAGTAACTTTAGGGTTTATAGTGGTATATTTCACTTACCCCTTGGGATAACAGACTGCAAACATTGGTGACATTCAAAGATTCAAAAATTCTTTTAATTAATTGGTTTGATTTTATAATAAAAGGCCTTACTTGCAAAAACGTCCACAAAACATTTTATGAAAGTTTTATGAAAATAAAAGTTTAATTATAAGTAAATTTTTTTTTGAAAATCTTGACTTCTTAAATGCTAAAAGGTTTTCATGGGAAGGGTTGAATGATTCAATATTCAGAATAGTTAACAGACAAAAATGGTCAAGAACGCACAAGATTCTAGAAATTATTAAATTATTAAATTTGAAATTGGACATGAAATTAAAAGATTTTTTATGCTTTTTGATTATTTTTGAGGGACGGGTGGGTTATTTTTCAAAGAATTATAAACCCCTGTGTTAAAATTTACCTTATATTTTATTTTATCACAGAGAATATAAATTTTTCTCGAAAAACTTGCAGAAAGAAGTGAATACCAAGATGTACCTGAGTCCTGATGGGACAATCCTTCAAGGGGAGAGAAGAATGAAGCAGTATTTATCCAAAAACAATCTTAACTCAACACTAACAGACACTGAGCAGTTCACCCTGTTGACATCAAAACCAGTAAAATCTAAAACCTTGCAAAGTGAAATGGAAGAAAGAGTTTGGAAGAATTGTGACTATCACTCTCTTGATAATTGGAAGTTTCGTCTCTCAACTGAGGGTCAGAGGTTTGAGTACAAATCTCCGGACGGAGAAGTCTTTTACTCTCGTGGTTCAGTTCTCCGAGTCCTGATAAAGAAGGGAAGAACCTCATACTCGGAGCTAATGATGCTAAAGAAGCTTCTGAAGAATAACGACAACAAGATTAACTTAAAGGAGAATGATCGGTTTATCAGAACCTTACCAGTCAATCAGAACTTTTTCATATTCATCAAAACAAGGTACTGTTTTTTAACCTTTTATTAGGTAATTTAGACACCTAAAACATTAGATACAGTTGGACCCAAAAAAAATCGTGGAATTGGAAGACGACTGTTAGACTGTGATTATGATTTCATAAAGTCCAAGCGAACCTGAAACTCAACAATTGTGCAGTGTATACAGACCCATTTTAATAAATAAGATGTGATTCAAGCTATATACTGGTCTTAGTATTTACTTTATTTCAACATCAAATATACATAATTGTCGTCTTCCTACTCAACTCTGTCATGGGTTCCACGGTTTAAGGTATAAAAGATGTGCACATAATAACTCATCCAATTATTTTACTCCTTCTTAAGGATTATATTTGCAATAATTCAAATAAGAGTAGATAAAAAGTCGTAAAAAAGTTTGAAAACTCAAAATGAAACCGATTTTTTAAAATATGTTTGTCAAATCTATCAGCCTGATTCCCAACAGTACCATTTAAGCCTTTATCTAAGTAACGATGAGCCTCAGCTTGACAAACAAGGATATATCCATCAATTTGGCCTGAACAAAGAATACAGGGTAACGTAATGAATCGGACATGTAACTCCATAAATAGTCAGTCACTTGAAATTAGGCCCACAGTCCCTTTATTGTGAATTATATCAGGTACTTGAACAGTTCAGCACCCGAGATATCTGATTTAAATCTTCCGAAAGGCTGGAAAAAGAAGATTATCAACGAAGTAGAATATCTTAGGTATATTGTCTGTTAGTTTGGCCTTTTATCGCGACGGTGGTCTGGGGTTCCTCAATTGGGATCTTGTAAGATTATTGTTATTATTATTATTATTGTATATAATAAACGTCGAAACAGTCAAACTGATGTTTGGGGCCTCACAAGCACATCAACTTTCTGGGGGGTTAATGGTCGGTAAGGGTTCAAAAGCGGAACTCTCTTTTTATGTTGTAAAAAATCGCCAAAAAAATTGTGAAATACTCGTTTTTTTCCCATACAAAGTTATTTTGAGGTAATACAACATTCAAAAGAATACATGTATTATTAAATAAAGACGCAAAGCGTCTCTGAAGACTAGCATTTATCACGATTATATTGCAGGAATCCATTAGGGAATGTTTTCAACTCTCGCAGACTGGCTTTAGACCACATGAAATCCACAGGAGGTAATGAGTTTAATTTATTTAATCTTAAAATAAGTATTGGTAACACTATTGTTTTATACTTATATTGTCATATTAGATGATTTATATATTTGATGAAAAATTTGATTTGTTTAGAGTATACTCAAACTGAAATAGTGCGTGTAGCAATGGACGATTTAGAAAGTGAGAGTGAAATATCTGAGTCGGACGAAGACGGAGAAGAGAGTTCTAACATGGAGATATTTGAAGACAAAGAAAGAATGGGAATAGTTGAAGATGATAATCAGAGAGAGAACGAAAATGATAAAGATAAAGATGAAGGATTTAGGTGCAGAGAAGATGAGAAGAGTTGGAAGGAATCAGAATATAGAAAAAACCACAAAGAAAATAAAATAGAGGATTTGGAGGATAAAATGAAGAACGTGGTGGATAAGAAAATGGAGAAGTTAGAAGATGAAATGGAGAATATGGAAGATAAAGTGGAGAACATGGAAGATAAAATGGAGAACATGGAAGATAAAATGGAGAACATGAAAGATAAAATGGAGAATATGGAAGATAAAATGGAGAACATGGAAGATAAAATGGAGAACATGGAAGATAAAATGGAGAACATGGAAGATGAGAGAATTGAAACCGATGAGGGACTAGATCTTTTATATGAAGATTATCCAAGTGACAGTTCTTCCATCTCAGGTAAATAAACATTAGTTGTACAACACCATAGAAGAAACCGTACATAAAACCCCTTAGTACTTTGCGTACATGATATTCCGCTAAACAAATCAGGTGAATAACCGTCGTCTTTGAACTTTTGATAAAAGTGGCCTACCTACTTAGGAACATAAAGTGTTACTCAGTATAAGATTGAGACTGTAAAGACGACCTGAATCTCTTAAAATATGACGATCACAATGCTTAATTAAGTTGAATACAGTCTTTTAATAGCTATATAATGATTTTACAATGGAGTTAACAATTTTTTAGTTAAAAGGGATTATGAATGAAAGGAAACAGACGGTATGAATTCCCTGCAGTCGTCTCTAAAATGTGGGTATCCCTGTATGTTGGGTGATATTAGGATTTCAGACAGTTTTTCTTTTATTTGAAAATCTTGGTAAACATTTGTACAGAAACATATAAGTATTTTTAGAAAGAAATTTACACATGCCCCCTTCTCAAAAATCTAATTTATTTGGATGATTTCTTATCATATGTGTCGCACGGCATCACTTGTCCCTCTTTCTAAGGAAAAGCAAGCAACCTCTCGTGACTATTTATTTGTCCTAACCTACATGATCTATCCTGGCATAATATTATCACGGAAAGTTGCCATTTTTAAAAAGAAGGTGCTCGGATGGGGGGAGTGGGGGGGGGTGTAGAAGAACTACGAGAGGACGAGGCCTTTTTTTCCTTACTGCATGTCAGAAAAATTACATGGGTATAATTGTGATTCCAGCTTTTTTATAATTTTATTTAGAACCAAATGTTTTCTTGTATAGGAAACACAAACTTCAATCTATCTTGACATGATTCACGGGTTATCAGTAATGTTGATGAAATGTAGACGCCCTTTTAAAATAAAAGGGACTGTAAGCGTAATTTCAAGTAACCCTCCATGCACAGATGGCAATGTCCGATTGATTCACAACGGTATCCTTGAAACCTTTACCTCATAAAATTTGTTTAAAAGTGTTAAATTCTGATGATTCATATAAGTTATTCTGAGGCATAAATGCGAAAGTGACTTTTGTTGAGAAATCACAATTGAAAATGATTACTTTTTATAATTATAAACTTTGATATCTAATTCATATTAGATCAGACATAGCTTTTGTTGTAAATCGGGCATTGAGGGTCACTTGAAATTATGCTTACAATCCCTGTAAATTGTTTAGATGCCCGGCAAAGTAGATGCAGTATTGATTCAGGACTGGATCATCCTCGTCTCAGTTTTCAACATCCACTCTGGACGCATCCGCAAACTATTGAAGAAATTTGTTCACGTTCTCCTACGCTTTGTGACGCAAATCTCAGTTCTCCAACGCACAGAAATGCACCTTCGGAGGAAGCTGGAAGAATAGATGATGGATCTGATATCCATACAAGTCCTGTAAATCCATTAAAATCCCTAAGTGCAGAAAATTTAAGCACTGTCGTAAATGATTCCAAAGGTTTTTTTGAATTTCTTCAAACAAAGAAAGAGTGAATGAAACAAATATTTTGTAGATACACCTCTTGATTAAAATATGTATTTGTAATTATGTCTACAAAAATATTACAAAAAATTTCTAGAATTCGACCAAATACAATATATTACTTAAAAACTTCATGTTGCTTTAATATTTGTAAATATTGTTAAACAATTTTCTAAAATTATAATGAGAAAAAATATCAACATAGATTTTTTCTCTTATTTGAAATTACACATTTAAGGGCAATTAGTTTTTAGATATCACATCTTTAGTATTGGTTGTAAAGAGGTCTAATTAACAGGACTCTACTTTTGTGATATTTCAAGTGGTCCGCGATATTATTTCAGAAGTTACCATAAGGAGATTATACAAAGTTTTCGTAAGATTTATCATATCATTCCTAACAAATTCATAACTTTTCTTCCTCTTTGTTAAGAAGTAAAGATAATGTAACATGTTGACATGTTAAATACAGATTGTCCCACGAAACATGACAGTTGGTGAATAGTTTTAGATGTCTTCTTCCATAGCTTGTTAAGTTATTTGATAGCAAGGAAAATACTAAAAATTATTTCATATGGCAGTCATATTCTGGTAAAATGGGGCTGTGGTCGGAGGTGTCGCGATAATTCTTCTAGTAAGAGACCTCACACTTAAAGTGGTGACGACCCCTATACATATAAATAGCCCTGGGGAGATACTCACAATATCGAATAAACCTTCAGGGGCGTACTCAGCAATTTGTCCGGGGGGAATGGGGGGCGGTAGCAATTTTTTACTTACTCGGGTAGGGCTCAGCAGCCAATTGGGACCCCAAAACCCCATAAGAAACCATAGCTTTTGCAATTTAGAGTCCCTGTTACGGGGGGGAGGCTGCCTAACATTTTTCTAAATCAGTGGATGCGCATCATCCAGTGAGGCCTAAAACTCCTCTAGAAATCATAGATTTAACTAAGTCGGGGGGGGGGGGGGNCCCTGTCTACCCTTTCCCCCTCTTCCCCCTTCCCTTGATAAAAAAAAATAAAAAATGATGTCAAGAAGAAGGTATAATGTTACATTGTGTGTATACGCAACAACCCCCCTTCTGAACTTCTGACTCACTAATTTTCCGACCTATTGCAATATCGGACCATGGAACAACTATCGGACCTATGCCAGCTGTTTATTTGGTGGTGTATTTTTCGACCTACACAAGTCTGCTATACTGGGCCGAGCGCTGCCACATGGTGCCAGGACAAACTCCGGAAAGACAAACTCCTGAACGACAAACTCCGGAAAGACAAACTCCAGAAAGACAAACTCCTGACGAAACAAACTCCTGAAAATACAAACTCCTGAAATTATGAAATTTTTCTCTGAATGAAATATGATAAAATTCATAAACTTTAGGAGAAAAAATCCGCAAGTATCCTAGAAAAAATTCTCAATCTTTAGTAATTTGAATATGCTTCAAGCAGCAAAGTATTACAATGATCAGAATAACCAGAAAATTTATTATTGTTTATTTTTTTATTATTTAGTGCTGCGGCTAGGACATGCTAGGGGGCCGAGCGCTGCGGCCATGGGTTAGGTTAGTTAAGACACTTTCTGGGCCGAGCGCTGCGGCTAGGACAGGCTAGGGGGCCGAGCGCTGCGGCCATGGGTTAGGTTATGTTATGACACTTTTTTTAAATTTGATATCATGGAGTTTGTATTTCAGAAGTTTTTATTTTCAGGAGTTTGTCTCGTCAGGAGTTTGTCTTTCAGGAGTTTGTCTTGGCGCCCTGCCACATGTCCAAATAGCAGTTGTAAAACCACGTGCTAGTAGGTCGGATGTGTAATATAGCGGATTTTGCGTAGGTCAAGGTCAGAACAGAAGTGGAGTATAGCGGATTTGCGTAGGTCGAAAAATATACGATACGTCGTGCAAAGACGACAAAATGTATTGAATGATTGATTGAATTTTGCCATCTCAATAATATACGGGGTATTTGCGCTCTATTTTCACGCACTTCCTTGCACTGCTGCGAAACTAATAAAACTATTTGCAATCAATTATTGTAGTTAAATTACACAGTGTAAGGTTGTTAAATTTTGAAATATCATTTTTCCAAATATTGATATTTTCCTTGCTAATTGCAGCAACGTCAAACATTAGATCTTGATTGTATTAAACTTTTTTATCAATTCCTCTTATCTTTACAGTAAAAAGTTGTTACAATTTGTTTAAGTCTGTACGGAGCGAACAGAAGAACTGATGATATCAAGTCTTGAAATTAATTAACTGCGTCTTGTTTTTTAAAGTGTTGAGTCATTTTTTTTATCAGTTCAGTTTTAATATTGCTTATCAGGATTAGTAGTGGTAAGTGAATATATTTAAACATTGGGGATTCATTTATGAAATGATTTTATATGACAAACATTCAGCAAGTAAAACACTGACAATTTGATGGCGTGTCGCGCAAACAAAAATAACTTTCGAATAAAAGTATTGGTATATTCCTATTATTTTTGGCATTTTTAAAAGAAAAGATAAAGTAAACATTAAAAAGTAAAGTATTACAGATTTACGGTTCTCTAATATAGACAAAAAAAACTATTCAGTAATTTTGTCAAAATAGGAGTAGTTAGGGGTGCACAAAGTCTCCAAGGGGGTGCACAACAAAAAGTTCGGATTAGGTGCCCACTCCGGCCCCGTACACTAAAACTCTCATACGCCCCTTAACATAACTCAACCCGTCCTATTTTTAAATGGTTTTTACTCATGATCAATTCTTCGAATGTTATAAAACAAGTCTCAATTTAAATTATAATTCTCAGCAGTGCTTGGGATCCATTTAAGTTTGATCTGGATCCTGTATCGTTGTTTTTATGCTAAAGATTAATGATTCAGAGACAAGGAATTTTTTGAGAATTGCACTTGCTTTTGCAATAGTTCAGATTTGGAATTTGAAAGAAAAGTTTTTGGTTGATATTTTGTCCCTTGGATCCAAAACCTTGGATCCGTATATTTTTGCGGATCCGATCCTAAACGCTGATGTCAATTAATTTTCTGCGAGCAATTCAGGGATTCCTCTTGGATTAATCTGGCCGAGTGAACATTTGTATAATTAAAAAATACCAAAAAAAACAACATTAATACAACACTATTTGCTTATAATGGTACTTTAGTCTGTAGTATCTGCCACAAACAGTATCCTAGTTCATAAAATCTGCTGCAACTCGTATCTTAGTCCCACAAATTTGGGAATTCTTAACACTTGCTACTAAATCTTTTTTTACTAAATGTAAAACTTTATAAAAAAAAATTTCTACCCCATCCCACGATATCGGTTGTTAGTGAGCTAAGCCTGGACAGTCCAACCAAAAATATTGTTAATATTCTGACCAAATATATGTGGGTCCTCATGGTTTTTGCTAATTTGACAAACATAATTTACAGATACAACAATTTCGCTTCTCATTTGTTCTGAAATATGTGAAGTGAAGTGCATTGAACCGAAACTTCCAACTTTAGCGTTGAGCGGAAAATGGAGACTGAGACATTTCCCCTTCATCGTCTGGTCTGGAGAAATGAACTGGAGACTTTGACCTCCAGTCTGAAAGTAAAGGGGGTCAATATGGAGGTAAAGAAAACTTGGAATGAAATGAATATTTAAATGGTTTGTCTGAAATATTCTTTCACAATCTTTCAAGGTTCAATGTACAATGTACATTGTTCATGTTTAATGGTATTGATTAAGTCAGATTAACATCATTTAGGTTATTTTTAAAACGTTGCTGAAGAACTCAAATATAGACAAGTAAACTTCTAGGTTTTGTTATTTCGTAGTTCTTCTTGACCGACCCCTCCTCCCCCCTCCCATTTTCTGTTGATCTTTCTTTGATGGAGGGCATATTTTTTATTAATGGCCGATTATGTAAGATAATTAATTGTGTTTGAAGGATAAGGATACCCAGGGTAGAACCCCCTTGATGCTGGCTGTATGTCTGGGACACCTGGAGGCTGCCAGGATACTGGTTCAACATGGAGCTAACGTTAACACGGAGAGAGATGGGTGGACGGTAGTTCAGGTCAGACAAAGTTTCTATTAAAGAACCACCAACCCCCCCCCCCCCCCCCTACAGCAGGGATGTTTTTGTGTAATTTTTTCCCCAACTTGAGTAAAAAGTATGATCAGAAAGGAGTTGTGATGCTTAAATTTACTTGTTTTCAGGAGGCAACAGCTACTGGAAACTCACGTTTAGTTCATCTAGTATTGGAAGAGAGAGATAAATTAAGGTACTAGATCTAGAACAATGTTAGTTCATACTTTCCTATCAAACTGTTGCTCTTAATCAGAAGCTAACTACCGATTCATTATTAGCTTTAACGATTAATATTTTCAAATATCTGAATATAGAAAATGAACATCCAAAAAACTTGGCGTGTTTGTAAAAAACTGATCTTCCATCATAAGAATTGCGTGTCTTATTTTACACCTGTAATGTTAAAACCTTGACCAAAAATAATTTTCCTCCTTATTTCAGTGTGATCAGATATAGGTCTAAAGGGTCCCATTGTTAACCGTGCATGAAATGGAGAGGTGTCTCGAAATATTGGCAACAGTCTCGATATTTAAATACAAAAAAGTATTTTACACAAATTTATTAGGTATGGAGCCCGGATGGGTGGTATCCCCGAACTGTTGATAAAACTGAAGGATGTCCCGGACTTCTATGTTGAGATGACCTGGGAGTTTACTAGCTGGGTCCCACTTGTCTCCAGGTACAATTTTACCCCAGAACCCTGTTCTACTTTCGTTGGATTAATTTTCAAACCTTGGATTTAAGTTGAAAGATCAAAATTTTCAACACCTTTTATGTTTCGTTATTTTCAGATAACTTTATTTCTCATTTATTTAGGATGTGTCCAAGTGATACTTACAAGGTTTACAAAAGAGGAAGCAGTGTAAGGTAGGACTAAGATATGAATTATTATATAATTATAAACGCAAGAGATTTGTGAATATTTTCATTTTTTTATTTTCGTTGAACACCATGTTCGATTCGTCGTATTTTCCTGAATATTGATTAATTAATTAATCGATTTAGAATTTTCCTGAATTTTGTATATTCAGAGTGGACACAACTCTGCTGGGGTTTGATCACAGTAGCTGGACAAGGGGAAGCAGAACCTACATTTTTACAGGTTAAACATGATTTGATTTGATTTGATTTGATTTGATTTGATTTGATTTGATTTGATTTGATTTGATTTGATTTGATTTGATTTGATTTGATTTGATTTGATTTGATGAATAATAACAGGGGTATATAATTTCAAGGATTGTCAAGAGGGAAATTTTTTGCCTTCTTCCCAGGGAAAAATGGCCACTTTTTCACGATAAATAAGTTTTTTTTCGGCCAAAGGGTTCTTTATTTTTTTCTGAGAAGTTTTAAAAGTCTTACAAATAGAAAATAAAAAGGGTGAGCGCGAATAAAAAAATGTATTCCCTGAATCAACAATGAATGATTTAGTACACATTAATGAAAATAATATTGGTATACCCATTTAAAGAGGAGGGTGAGTTTGACCAATTTTAACAAATTTCGCATTAAAAAAATTGTGGAAAAAAATATTTTACACCCACTTTTCTCAATTTTTCACGTTTTTTTCACCTTTTTCATTCAAATACCAGCTAGGAGTTATAAACACCTACCTGTTTGTCAATAATCTCATTACTAACATCAGAACAAAGTATAAGGTCTTTCAGATCACTTCCCCTTATTTTCCCCCTATTTTATCACATTTTCCCATTTTGTTAATATTTTTATCATTTTCTGGATTTCTGAATTCATTTTTCATCGAAAATAAAAAACTTTTGCACACAGGTTTCAATAGGATATTTTTGTTGTTAAACAAAATAAAAGGAGGGGGGGGGGGGAGGGTTTTTCCTTCTTTTTTACATGTTTTTAAATCTACCAAAAAGTCTGATTCAAAGACAAACTAGGTCTAATATTAGACCGAAGTTAAAGGGTTTTCAGATCAAACTCACCCTCCCCTTTTAGGAAAGCTTAAAAAAGTCTTACTCCAGTATAGCTGAGCAGAAAAACATATATCATATGCATAATAATGATTTAAAGGACAAAACCTTAACCAATGTAATAAAGATAAATTATCAAGTCATCGAACGATAAAGTTTGTCAGAAAAAAAAATTGGAAGTAAGAATCAAAATATCAAAGAAAACTTTTAGAAAAAAAATTGATTATTGATTCATGAGATTAATTTCAGGAGAATCCAACACTGCCAAATTTATAGAAATAGATCATGATACTCAACAGGTAATTTCAGTTGTGCTAAATAATTTAATAGACATAAAAATGATTTTTTATAAAAATTTGTCATAAAGTGTCTTAGATACACAACTCAACATATATATAATAAAGCTCCTTGATCAAATATATTTATATTTGTTTGTTAGCTATAGCTGGCCAAATGGCTGAACCAAATGGGCTACATTTTGTTTGAGGGAACTCATGGGTACCCTGGGAGTAAAATTTTGCTTTAAAAATTCGCTTTTTTTCCTCTTAAAAATCGATTTTTTCCCAATATTTCCCCCTCAAAATTCTAACTTAATTTTTGTCCAAAATCTATGGGTAACGCGGGACACTTGAGCTAGTTTTTTGATAAAATTGGCAGGTTACAGACCTCTCTTAATGTCACAATATAACCCACTTTATGTTACGAACACACATGCATGTTTACTCTGAAACTATGCCTTATTTTGATCCTCATATCAAGGTGTATGAAGAGGAGATGAAGATGAATACCGGGGATTTGGAAACTTTAAGCTTCACATCGGTGGATCAAGTTGAGCATAGGTTGAGCACTCCTCTGGTTCAAACATATCTTGGTAATTTTTATCATTCCAGGGGATTCACACCTTTTTTTTAATAATAGTCAGTTTTTTAATGTCGCTTTCTAAAGCATCATTTTTCTTCGCACATCAGAAAGTTGAGAAATTTCACTGATTTTCCTTTTTTTTTGATTTGAACATTTCCATGAATTCTTAAAAATCCTAAACTTTGATTTATAAATGTTTCATCTCGACTTACCATAAACCTCACATACAAAAAAAGCTAAGAAATTTAAGCGAGTCTCGACAAATTTCGAATTTCGTTAAACTTAAATTTAATTTCAGACACAGACAATATCAGCTTTGATCGAGTAAAGTCCGGATTGTTTGGTTGGGGTAGCGATAAATCTGAGACTGTGTCCGGGATGGAATGCAAGGTAATTTCGAGAATTACAAAGAAAAGTTGAAAAAAATATTTCATCTTTTAATCGTTATAATCACTTTTTAATCATAGATTAAATAATCAATAATACGTTTTAAATAATTAGGTGTTTGCCGCAAACAATGTGGAGGTTGTCACAAAGACGAGGACGGAGCATATGTCCAAGGAGGACAAGGAGCTAGCTAAAACTAACAAGAACCCTCTCCTCTCTATCTTCGGTCCCTCGGAGACAGAGGTGAACCACATCGGAGCTGCGGAGGGTGCCCCGGAGGTGACGGAGCAAGACTACTTCTCCGACAAGAAAATTGACATCGGAAAGCCCAAAGAGGAGTTCAAAAAAGGTCAAAAATTTAAGGTAAACATGGAAAAAGATATATTTTAGTTAAATTTCATTAGATTAAACGGCCGACTGATTATCTGAATTTGGATCAATTCAATCACTGCTTGATATGTTATTTGGTTGATTGATTGATTGATTGATTAGGCCCAGCTCTGGTTGTGCGAGCAGTATCCCCTATCCCTACAGGAGCAGATAATGCCAATAGTTGATCTTCTGGCAATATCAAACACACATTTCCAGGAACCAATATTATACTTAAAGATTTAAGTTCAAAACTGCAAATTTTTTAAGAATACCAGCTTTTGGATGAAAATTTTTCCCTATATAAATCAACCCACCCAACAGAGAACCTTAAACCCAAGCTAAGCATATTCTTGTGGTGCTAAAGAGCTCCCCAATCAAAGTTTGAGACAAATTGGTCCAGTTACATTTAAACCAAACAATAGACAGACACAGAGATCACTACTTAATATTTTACTTCTGTCTGGAGTTACCCTCTTCTTTTCAATATAACTATATGATAAACATCATCTCCATAAGAAACAAAAACAACAAAAAACTTTTTTGAAAGTAAAATTTGCAAATATTCACTTCTTAAAAATGTTTTTAAAACCGTTATTTTTCAGATTGTTTCCGTAATGAAATAGAAGTGGCTGGGGGTTTAATTTAATCAAATTCAAAAGATTAATCTTTTTCCAACCTTCTTTTCCTTCCCAAATTAAATAATTTAATCACGAAAAATGAAAATTTAGGTATTTTTTGGCAAAGTTCTCCTCCAAAAAGCTTTTAAGAGTTATTACAAAGGTTTTTAAATCATTTAAAATTTTAGCTCATAATAAATAAAAATGTTGGTGATTTATTAGAAATTGAAAGATTTTATCCACATGCAGTTACCCTCCGGGTTCCCTGTAAAGATAGAGATTCCAATCTTCCATGTAATAAACGCTAGGATAACATTTTCAAATATTCAGGTTAACAAAATATTTTCAAATTTGGAATATAGTATGATCATAATTACCTCAGTTTCTTCAAATTTTTTTGGGGAAAAGAAAAAAAAATGGAAGGTACTGTAAGCGTAATTTCAAGTGACCCTCCATACAAAGATGTCAAGGTCATATTTACACAGTACCATTTAAAGGTTTGTCTGATCAAGTATGAGTTAGATATCAAAGGTTTTTTTTACTTAAACTGGTTAATTTCAATTGCAGTTTCTTTGCTTGAAGTAACTTTCGCAGAAAGAATGGAAAAATTCACAAAATTTAACACAATTTTGATAATAATTTTGTTTCAACGGTTTCCTTCTAAATCTGGCATTGCCATCTTTGCATTGAGGGTAACTAGAAATTACGCTTACAGACCTTTGTAGTACACTTTTTACGCAAAGTAATTCATTTTCTTAAATAATGCTGTAGAAACCCTTCAACAAATGGGAAATGGCTTAGAAGAGGGGGAATAATTTTAACGATAATATTACTCCTTATTCCAAAATAATTAGATTTATCCAAAATTACATATAAATTAATTTTAAGGCTCTGGACTCGGGTATAGCTGGAGTAACTTCAATCAAAGAGGATTGCGGGAGGAGCTCGGCGGCCATAGACGATTCCGTCTTTGAGGTTCCAAGAGGTAAAAGTTTAAGATAGAAAAAATTTGAAGTTCATGTTAAAACTTGTTTTACCAAAATAAACTTGTGATTAAGTTAATAACGATGAATGATTAATGAACCTAGTTCGGCTTTGGATTAGATATTAGCACGTATTGTGACGTCGTAAACTGTTGTATCACTTTAAAACAGCTGTTTTAAACTTTAATCTAATGGCCTTTCATTGGCTTATGAGTAATAACTCTTATTTTCTACTAGCTAGAGTTTTTGAATTTTTTTAGACTGTCCACAAATAAATTCCACCTAATCGGTCCAGCCGTTTGGCCGGCTATTCGCAACATATATATGAAATATTATTATTAATATGAATGTCTTGTTTTATATAGAAGACCAGCTGAAGGGCCCGGCGTTGCCCGGGATGAAAAATTGAAGAAAAAAATATTGAAAAAAAAGTTTTGATTAATATTAATTCTGTCTCACAATCATGACACTAACAAATTCCCTATTTTTTTAAATTGTTTTTTTTAGCCTGAAACCTTTTAAATTTAAAGAAATCATGTTGGGGTCTAATACGTCTATTTTAAGTCGGAATCATTTTTATTGAGTTTTTACATTTTAGTCTTGCTTTTGACTTGTCAAGTCCTGCACTCACATGAAACATGTCAAATATGTGAGGAATTAATTAAACAGTTTTAAGAAATAAGTTATCGTATTTTTTAACGAAGACCGGAGAATAAGTTCAAAAATTCGTTTTCTATGGATCCAGATCCATAGCACTGCTAAAACCTGTTCATTTAGGATACACTCGTCTCGGAGGTTCAAGTGAGAACACAATGCGTCAGTATGGAGGGAACGAAGAACACCTATTGCTGCAGTACGCAATTAGACAAAGCTTAGAACAAACTTCAGAACAGGTAGCTACAAAATATTGTCGTCTTCTAGAGAAGAAAATCTTTAAAAAATCCGCGAATCTGCATTTCTCGAAAGTGAATGGGGAACAGTACCAACACAAATTACGCAACTTCAAGGACGACCTGAAACACTATAAAATGCTTCCTTAAGATAGTTTTGGGGTTCTATCTTAGAAATAGTATATTAATGATGCATGGTTTACAGCCGCAGGAAACAAGGAATCTGGAAATATTTTGTACACTGTTCAGTCTTCTCTGAAGTCTCATTCTTTGTGGGTAACTCTTATCTAAAAATGATTCGTATTAAAGGGACTGTGAGCGTAATTTAAAGTGCCCCATTTACAGTGGCACTCTTCAATCCTTTGTCTGATCAAGTATGAATTGTTAAATAAGTACTTATTAGAACCGAAAATTCAACGGCGTTTATAGAATTTCCCTGTTTCCTTTTTAACCATTTATGTTCCATGAACAGGTTAACATCTGGGAGGCTCTTGATTCCTCCCCTCCTGGACCAAGGGAGGAGGGGGATGGAGAGAACATGGAAGGATTAGCTCAACACCAGAGATCCGTTCTTTCCCAGTCAAATAGTTTAACCTTCAGTCTCAGTGCAGAGGAACGACAGCTGCAGGTAAAAAAAATTACAAGTTTAATTTTTTCTCCAATTTGAGATTGGTTTCTTTTGTGGTTTTTACTTGCACATAAAATTATTTTAAAGTGAATTTAAAAAAATCAAAATCTGAATTATAAATTTACAGTGCGTTTCAAATCCTATATTGTTTGTTTTTAATCTTGTTGACAGAAACAATCTCAACAACTGACGAGGGTCAACTGGCAATCCGGACCGAAATATATTTTCAATAAAATGCAGAAATACCATTTACTTAATTTACTCCAAAGAGGTTTTTAATATGATCCTATCTTTTTAAACCTTCTAAAAACCTGTTAAAACTTAAATAATATAATTTTTATATAAAATAAAATAAATCTCGTATTAATTTTAGGAGGCCATAGAGGCCAGTATGCGTGAGAACCCTGGGGTCCCGACCTCTGATTTCCCTGCTCAGGATTCTGTGGGGGTCGAGGATGATCTAACTATAGCGCTGAGGCTGAGCGAGGAGCAGGAGAAGCTGAGACAGGAGCAGATGAGGACGGAGGAGGAGAATATGCTGGCTAGGGTCCTGGAGCTCAGTATGAAGGAAAAGTAGGAAAAAGCGCGAAATCAAAATCACTAATTTTTTATATTAAGTAATTGTTACCATTTACTCATGCTTTAAAGCTTTATAAGAGAATATATAAACCTTTGTACAAAACGCTGTTAGATAAAAGAAAAAGCACTAAAAAATGAATTGTAACGTTTTTCATCGATGTTGCCAACTAAAATGATTTATTAATCGGAACAATTGAGCCAATTTTTTAATTTATAAAATTCTCATTAAAAAGTTCCTGAACGTTAGTAAATTAGTGTTAAATGTTGTTGTATCACGCGTCTTCTAAAACAAAAATAATTATTGAATTATTTACCTCAAAATTTAAGTGTACAGTACACTGAACACTAAGGGTGTTATTGGCAACGCAAAATTCACAATCCATATTGTACATCGTACAGCTTGCAATGCGCGCAAATTTAAGATAATGTCTGTCAAATATTTGTATATGTAAATGTTAATGAAACTGAGGAGATTTGATAATGTTGAATATTAAATGTACCGTGATAATCGAAGTATGCATTTTATCTCGTTTGCTTCAAAATGTATTTGGTCCAGTATACTGTAAACTAATCGGTCTAGTAAACTGTTAACTATTTGGTCCAGTATACTGTAAACTATTTGGTCCAGCATGCTGAAAACTATTTGTTCCAGTATCCTGTAAACTATTTGCTCCAGTATACTGTAAACTATTTGGTCCAGTATACTGTAAACTATTTGGTCCAGTATACTGTGAACTATTTGGTCCAGCATGCTGAAAACTATTTTTTCCAGTATACTTTAATCTATTTGGTCCAGTATACTGTAAACTATTTGGTCCAGTATACTGTAAACTATTTGGTCCAGTATACTGTAAACTATTTGGTCCAGTATTGGGGGTCACTGGTCTTCTCACTTGGTAGGGGTCCTTTAAGATTTATTATGACATTGATTTTGATCCATTTCATTTTGATCCGGAATTATTTTTCTGTTAAATCAAGTTGTATTGAGTTTATTGTTTCTAAATAAGAATTTTATTTTATGGTTTCATTTATATGCTTGACTCCCAACCCTGGATTTACATTCAGCTCTGAACTGAGTTTATGCATTGGAACTTGAACGGAAGGGAGCTCAAGCCTTAAATATCAGATTGAAAGATTGACACCGATTATTTTTGTTATTTTTATTATTGAGAAAAAAAAGTTTTCTACCCTGTTGATAATATATTTCAATACTCATCTAGATTGTCAAAAAATACACTGCTATAAAAAAAAAATCTTGATTAAAAGTTTGCTTGTTTAGGGATTTGGGTATAGGTGCGGATACACAGGGTGATGAATATCAGTTCGCGTACACCCTACCTTCCCAGTCCCAGGTGGAGGACAGCTTCAGTAAGCTCATCATCAAGGAGACCAACGAGAACAACAACCTAGAGGACAGGGAGCTCCAGTTTGAGGTGCATTAATCAAGCAACAAAAAATAAACTAACACGTTTTTTTAAACTTGCAAAAACTCTTTACCCTCAAAGAGTCTTATTTGGTTATATTTTATTTGTTGTATAGGATGAAGAGGAGGAAGGGGGCGGGGCTGGAAGGCTCCACCTACCCTCCAACAGCTGTGCCTACTGTGGTGTGCATGATCCCTCTACCCTTGTAAACTGTAATATCTGTAAACGTTGGTTCTGCAACAGTCGGGGAAATACATCCGGCAGCCATATTGTCAATCATATGGTCAGAGCTAAACACAAGGTCGGTTTTACTCATTTTTAGGTTTTTGTTATAACAGAGAAATATGTTTTCAAGAACTAACCCCCAGGCCACCTGAAAACTTTCAAACCTTTAATACATTTGTTTTCTTTTGTAGGTTTAGAGATTAAAATCTTAAAAAAGACGACCTTTAATTAGTCCAAAGTTGAAATAAGCCAAATTGATCAGTTAAAAATATTTTCATCAATGTAAATAGTAAGTAAAAAGCATGTGTCGCTGTACTTCATTTTTGAGACAGAAATCTTATAAATTCAAACAGGGGTTCTTCCTTCTTGTAAAGAAAATTGACATTTTCTTCCGAAGTATATATATTTTTCTCCCTGTATATAAAGTAGATCTCTGTCATTTTGTTTGTGTGACTCATAAACCACTTGATCGATTTGCCTCAAATTTTGATTGAGTAATTTTGTTTAACAACGGCAATATTCTTAGCTTTAAACACTTTTAAGTTGAGTAGGTTGACTTTAATAGAGAAAGTTTTCCATTCATGTTTGGGTTATGTAGGGATAATCTTAATTGTTCAGATACTTCACCCAATCAATATATATCAGGAGGTGACCCTGCACAAGGACGGCCCCCTAGGAGAGACTGTGCTTGAGTGCTACAGCTGCGGGGTGAGGAACGTGTTCGTTCTCGGGTTCATACCCGCAAAGGCGGACAGTGTAGTAGTTCTACTCTGTAGGCAACCCTGCGCTGCACAGAATAGTTTAAAGGTAAAATACGGGGAGTGGTGGGGAGGGGGGGAATAAAGAAGTGGACTTCAAATGTAAGATTTTTTGTACCTTTACCCCCAAAATTCATTGATAATATAAATAAAAATGAAAACGTCACGTTTCGAGAAAGAAAATTTTTTTACATCTGTAAAATGAGATAGATGTTAGAAAGTTAACTCCAGTCCTGGTCTTTCTAACTTTTTTTACAGAAAAGATTTCGAAGATTTGGTGGTGGGNGGTTGACTTCTTCTGACAATTTTCAATCAGAGTTACCTTTACTAGGGCTTCTTGCAGATCTCATATATCACATATCACACCAGTTAAAATCGTTATTTCCCTAATTAGTAAAAAAAAAAAATTATTTAAGTTTTCTAAACAAACAAACGAGAGAAAGTTTTTTTTAAGGAGAAGAGAATTTATTTTTAGATAGATATATAATATCTTGTTTTCTACGGAGAGATGGTTGATCTTATATCTATCTATCTATTTATAATTTGTCGATCTATCGATCTATCTATCTATCTATATATTATAATGTCAGGCCCCAATTACGCAGGAATTCACTCCACCCACCAATGTTAATGACTGTTGTTCTCTAGGATATGAACTGGGATCAGGAACAGTGGCGACCTCTGATCTCTGACCGGCAGCTGTTGAACTGGCTGGTCAAGGTTCCCAGCGACGGAGAACAGCTCCGTGCTCGTCAGATCACCGGCGCGCAGATAAACAAATTAGAAGATTTATGGAAGGAGAATATTGATGCAGAGTTCCAGGTTCTTATTTGATCTGGTCTCATTGGTTTCAATTTGATTTAATTTTGATTAAAAAGTTTGAATAAGTTTACTTCAATTCTGATTCAATTTTGATTTAATTTTGATTCAACTTTGATTCAACTTTGATTCAACTTTTATTTAATTTGATTTGATTTTCATGACATTTTTTAATATGATTAAATATATCGATTAAAGTGATTAAATTATGATTAAATCTTGATTGAATTTTGATTAAATTTTGATTCAACTTTGATTCAACTTTGATTCAACTTTGATTCAACTTTGATTCAACTTTGAATCAATTTTGATTCAACTTTGATTCAACTTTGATTCAACTTTGAATCAACTTTGATTCAACTTTGATTCAACTTTAATTCAACTTTGATTCAACTTTGATTCAACTTTGATTCAACTTTAATTCAACTTTGATTCAACTTTGAATCAATTTTGATTCAACTTTGATTCAAAGTTGATTCAACTTTGAATCAACTTTGATTCAACTTTGATTCAACTTTAATTCAACTTTTTTCTGTCAATTTTTATTCAAAAGTTATAAAGTTTAATTGAATTTTATTTTATTATATGAAATTTATTTTTCAGTGCGATTCAATTTTGAATAAATTTTGATTCAATTTGATTCAATTTGATTCAATTTTGATTCAATTTTAATTTAATTTTGATTCAACTTTTATTCAACTTTGAATTAACTTTTCTTTCAATTTGGATTCTATTTAAATTCAATTTTGTTTCAATTTTTTTTCAATTTTGTTTCAATTTTGTTACATTTTTGTTTAATTTTTTCCAACTATGATAAAATTCTGTTCCCATTTTGTTCCAATTTGGGTTGAATTGGAATTCAGAAGTTTGATTAATTTGGATAAAGTTTGATTCAAGTTTAATTCAATTTGGATTGATTTTGATTTGGTTGTTAATTAAATGATGAAGTCATATAAAACTGGTGATGTTCAGGATCTAGAGAAGCCTGGAGTAGATGAAGACCCTCAGCAGGTTCTCCTCAGATATCAGGTAAACATTATACACCATATAATATAATTCCACACAAAAAAAAAACATCCAATCCAACTACTCAAAATAAAATGGAAGATCTTTTATCTCTCGAAATGATTCTCAACCACCCCAAAACATAATATTTTTCCTTTAATCTAAATAGTAAATACAATCTGATGGAATTCTTTAAATTCATTTTTAATTTTGCGCCAAGCTCAAGCAGTTTTAACATTCTGAGCTGGGAACTTTAGAATGCTGGATATTAATGCTTAATCCTCTCTTTTTGCTAATCTCGAGACTAACATAATTTCTAGATTATGTTAGTCTTGAGATTAAATATTAAGATCAACAAATTGGATTCTAACAAGGCCAGATTGGTTCGTTTTCCTGACTGAAAGGCCCTTCACTTAATTTCTCACCCATTTATTTATTAATACATTAATTAAAATTGGATACAAAAGTATCTCAAACATATTTTTAAATATTTTTCTTCACAGATTAATTTACAGAATGGCCGATCACAAATTCTTGATTTGTTAGAAATTGCGGATTTCTCTCATGGGATAGACTTTATTTTCAAGGCTGTCATTGGTCAATACAATTTACGAACTAAATTCCTGCACTCTCATTGGAGAAAATAATGTAAGGATATCCAAAGAAAGAGAAAAAGAGTGGATTAAGGAATAAAATTAAAAGTTTCCACAGTGGATATTCGGATTTAGTAGTTAGGATTAAAGGTTATCCATTCTAAAGTTCCCAGCTCTGGGTAAAAATATTTTTTTCGGGAGCAATGATTTCTAGCTTTTTTTAAGCTTTACAAAAGTATCCAGCCAAGTAAATGTATTTCTAATCTGTTTGTTTTTAATGTTCAGGATGGATACCAATACCAGAATATATTCGGTCCCCTCGTCAAACTAGAGGCCGACTACGACAAGAGGCTGAAGGAGAGCCAGACCCAGGACAATATCGAGGTCAGGTGGGACGTCGGCCTCAACAAGAAGATAACGGCGTACTTCACAATGGCCAAGAATGACAGCGACCTACGCCTGATGCAGGGTGATGAACTGAGACTCAGGTATAAGCTTTGAATTGTACATTAATATTGAACTTTGGAATGGGGTAAGGGGGAGGTTCAGATCTGTTATTAGATGGATAAAAAATTACCTTAAGCGTGGCATTTAACTAATTTTTAATCTACGGATAGAATGGGTGTAATTAGTAGTATCTTTCGTAATTTTTACCTCTTTCTTTCAGATTTTTTGGGATTACGATTCAGTTTTAGTTTCCTATTTTTTTATGGTTGGTGCACTAGATACAATCAGAGATAAGAGAGTTACAGAGATCGATTATCAGCTAAAATATGCGATATTTTCCACAGCATGTTCTATTGGGTACAAGTACTGTACACGACCAATCAGCAAACATCTTTATTTAGGGATATTTAAGGATCCTTTGGATACGAAACACAAAATCTTCAACAAAAAAAAAAGAATGAATTTATAAATGTAATGTTTCATGTCTAAAATTGGAGTATTTTTTTTAAAGTTGTAAAACTTAACCCCCGAATGGGTATTATGTTGAACAAGTGGCCGTGAGATGGCACTCTAATAACCTATCGTAAAAACGTAGCATGTCGTGCCGGGTCTATTTAGGCCTTCGTAGCCCACCCTGTGAAATGAGATAAGCAGTCTGAGTAGTCTGGATACAATATTCTTTTAGCATACTTCTTGACCCAGTGTACACAATTTGTTTTGCCTAGGTATTTGGGAGACCTTCAGAAGTCCTGGTCCGGAGTAGGTCACGTGATTAAGGTTGCGGACAATTTTGGAGAAGATATTGGAATAGAGCTGAAGAGCAACCAAGGAGCTCCCACCACCTGCACGTCGAACTTCGTCATCGACTATGTCTGGAAGTCCACCAGCTTCGACCGGATGCAGGCGGCTCTACGGAAGTTCGCCGTAGACGACACTAGTGTATCCGCGTATATCTATCACAGGCTTTTGGGACATGACGTAGATGATGTTTTGTTTAGAACTCATCTCCCTAAACATTTCTCAGCTCCGAACCTTCCTGATCTAAACAGATCCCAGGTTAGAACTCATTTACATATCATTTCTCAGCTCCGAACCTTCCTGATCTTAACAGATCCCAGGTTAGAACTCATTTATTCAACATTTCTCAGCTCTGAACCTTCCTGATCTAAACAGATCCCAGGTTAGAACTCATTTAATTAACATTTCTCAGCTCCGAACCTTCTTTATCTAAACAGATCCCAGGATAGAACTCATTTAATTAACATTTCTTTGCTCCGAACCTTCTTTATCTAAACAGATCCCAGGTTAGAACTCATTTAATTAACATTTCTTTGCTCCAAACCTGCCTGATCTAAACAGATCCCAGGTTAGAACTCATTTAATTAACATTTCTTTGCTCCGAACCTTCCTGATCTAAACAGATCTCAGGCTAGAACTCATTTAATTAACATTTCTTTGCTCCAAACCTTCCTGATCTAAACAGATCCCAGGTTAGAACTCATTTAGTTAACATTTCTCAGCTCCGAACCTTCTTTATCTAAACAGATCCCAGGTTAGAACTCATTTAATTAACATTTCTTTGCTCCGAACCTTCCTGATCTAAACAGATCTCAGGTTAGAACTCATTTAATTAACATTTCTTTGCTCCAAACCTTCTATATCTGAACGATGCCATTTTAGAACTCATTTATTAAACGTCTTTCCAAAACATTCTGATCTTTATAGTATATGTTCTATAAACTTGATACTTTTAGGTGTACGCTGTAAAGCATGCCTTGCAGCGTCCCCTGTCCTTGATCCAGGGACCTCCAGGAACTGGAAAGACGGTTACTTCTGCTACTATTATCTACCAGCTGGTTAAACTACACGGAGGGCCAGTTCTAGTCTGTGCGCCATCTAATACAGCTGTAGATCAGCTTACAGAGAAGATCCACAAAACCGGTTTAAAGGTAAGAATTTAGTTTATTTTCCCGAAACTCTTCGAAATATATTTAATTCGATTTAACTAGGTTGTACGAGTATGTGCCAAGTCTAGAGAAGCATTAGACTCTCCTGTAGCTCATCTAGCACTACACAATCAGATTAAAAACCTGGAGGGAACAGGAGAACTACAGAAGCTCCAACTACTCAAGGATGAGACTGGAGAACTGTCAAGTAACGATGAGAAGAGATACAGGATTCTCCGAAAGCAGAGTGAGAAGGATCTGCTCGATCTAGCCGATGTAATCTGTTGTACATGTATTGGAGCCGGAGATCCCAGACTGGCCAGGATGAAGTTCTCTTCTATACTGATAGATGAGAGCATGCAGAGTACTGAACCTGAATGTATGGTACCCGCTGTACTTGGGGCTAAACAGCTCATATTGGTTGGTGACCACTGTCAGCTTGGTCCTGTAGTTATGTGTAAGAAGGCTGCCAACGGAGGACTGAGGTAGCCTAAGATTTTATAGTATTAAAAAAATGTTCTGGATATCTGAGGTCATTTTTGGTCACATAAAAATAGAATTGGTACCTTTGTGGATCAATAACTTAACTCTTAATAAAGTATTACTTTAAAAAATTCCTACACAGCCCTTGACATTTTTTTTTTGCAGTCAGTCCCTGTTTGAGCGTCTTGTTGTTCTTGGAATCCGTCCTTTCCGTCTCGAGGTTCAGTATAGAATGCATCCTCAGCTCAGTAAGTTCCCATCCAACTTCTTCTACGAGGGTTCGTTGCAGAACGGAGTATCCGGTGAGGACCGGAAGCTGAATGTAGAGTTTCCCTGGCCTCAACCTGATATACCCATGATGTTTTATGTTGCAACAGGTTTGTTCAATTCTATTAAACAAAAGTTAGCTTGTTCAACAAAATCAAAGTTTTCAGTAAATATCAATGGATGGGATTGGGGTTGGGGGGTAGGCGATATCTGTATTTGATGAAATTGTATTTAATAAAGATATTAAATACATATTTACAAGTTCATTTTGTGTTATAGGACAGGAGGAGATCGCTGGAAGCGGAACCTCATTCCTGAACAGGACTGAGGCGGCCAGCGTCGAGAAGATCGCGACAAAGTTCCTCAAGGCCGGGATTAAACCTGAACAGATCGGCGTGGTCACTCCTTACGAGGGACAACGTAGTTTCCTGGTCCAGTATATGCAGTATCAGGGTTCCCTCCACTCCAAGATCTACCAGGAGTTGGAGATTGCAAGTGTGGACGCGTTCCAGGGTAGAGAGAAGGATATCATTATTATCTCCTGTGTTCGATCTAACGAACATCAAGGGATAGGTTTCCTAGCGGATCCAAGACGTCTGAACGTAGCTCTAACCCGGGCCAAGTATGCTGTGATTGTTGTAGGCAATCCTAAAGTTCTCTCAAAGCAACCTCTATGGAACCATCTTCTCCACCATTACAAAGAGAACAGGTATGCATAGCACAGAACCATAGTTTCTATAATAAAATGCGGTTCTTAGATTTCGGTTTGTGTTTTTTTGAAGTTAATTGCTGTTCTCCAGAAATGGTTAGAAATTTTGTTAAAGTCAATCGCAGATTAAACTTATTATTTTTTATGCCCATAATCTTTTCAGTAATTATAATTAATGCTAAATTATCATGTACTTATTTGAAATGTCGTCGTTTCTTAGCAGTGTAAAAGTAAATAAGTTATAAATTTATTTATTGAACAATTCTATTTAGATGTCTTGTGGAGGGTCCCTTGTCCAACCTGAAGGAGAGCCTTATGCAGTTCTCTAAGCCGAGAAAGCTTGTGAATGCCATGAACCCTGGGAGCCACTTCATGAACACCGCCATGTTTGACGCTAGGGAGGCAATGGCGCCTGGTGGAGTGTACGACAGGTATTTAAATTTTATTAAGATTTGAATTTTAAAGATTAAAATTTTCTTACCAAACCTAAGGATCCAAATAACCGTTAACTTTCCTCAAGTTCTAATTTTCCAACCCTTCTATATTTAAAACTTTATAATATTTCAACTTAAACGAATCAGAATTCATAGTTTGAAATGTCTAAAGTGAATAGCATCAGGTAGCAAAGATATGTGGATAAGAAAATTAGAGTCTGTTGTGTGTTATCCTCCAGGTCAAAGATTTGATACACCTGACTTGTGTTGTATTTAGGATAAGAGGAAGAATTGAGACTAGACCCGGAGCAAGGACGGATATCAGACATGATCCTCTCACTTATATTGGACCTGACCGCCAAGCTACTCTACCTCCTAGCAACCTTCCAATCCCTGTAGGAATATTCATGAACATGGCCCATGTACCTCCCAGGTAAAACGGAAAAATGAAGGATTAGTTGTAACTCTCAAAATATTTGGTTTTGAGATCAGTGGGGCCAAGCTTTTATATTGGCGTGGCTTTTTCAAACACAATGATTTGATTGATTGGTAAGATGCATTCTAGTTGTTAGGTTTAGTGCTTTATTTTCTAATCTTAGGATTCATGCTTGCCTATTCATCTTATATATATTATTATTAAAGATTTATTCACACACATTTAATATACATACATATATTACATATTACATATATTAATGGTATAATTTAAATTTGTTTTGTTATGAATGATATCAGATGTATTCATTATTCACTCTCATAATCTCCAATTTCATAAACCTGCTATTTTAAAGAAATCTATAGTCAGACTTTTAATAATATTTTTCTTTCCGGAATAAATTCCTTGCACTTAAAAAGTTGATTCAGGAAAAGTACCAAATTTTGGTAACAATAAAAATGTAAGCAATATTTAGAACATGTCAGCTCGTAATTAAAACACATTCTAACTGCATACAGACTTTTTCAGCATATTCTTGATGTTTCTAATAGACTTGACATTCAGACTAATCAAAGGGTGTAAACCCATTATCGATGTTGCAGGTAGACTTAACATCCACATTTCAAAGGGTCTAATCCAATTTTTGTTGCTAGTAGACTTTTAACATCCACAATAATCAAAGGGTATAAACCCATTCTCGATGTTTCTAGTAGACTTGACATCCACAATAATCAAAGGGTGTAAACCCATTCTCGATGTTTCTAGTGGAATTGATATTCACATTTATCAAACGGGAACCTAAAAGGTTTCCTCTCGAACCTACAAGTTCTATAAGGGATTCAGCCCTAGTCCTCTTATAATTAGCAAACATTTTGCATGCTTTCTTGAGAGAGGTGTTGACTCCTCAACTGCTCTCAACTAAGTATATATACTAAGTAATCCTCCTTGTGTCGTAGTTCTCTTTATTGTGTTTTATATAAGTTAGCTTGATCTAGATTCTTCTATTTTTAGAAGAAAAAATAGAATTAATTGAAAAGAATAAGGAAGGTTTTCGTACATGCTCAATGAAAGTTATGTTTCAATGTTGTTTTCACCTTTAATTTCAAATTTCAATGTGTTTGTTTTTTGTTCGTTAATGTATCAATATAGGCAACATGTATTTATAGTCTATATAGCTTTATAACAGTTTCATTCATTTCTTTAGATTAACTTGCAGTATCGTCCATGTCTCGTAATTTTGGACCACCCTCAGCCCTCCCACTGGTTGAAAGTGTTGCAAGTGAACAACTCCCAATTCCCATCAAGCTTCAAAATCCAAACTTAAGACTGTTCCTTTTTACTCTCACTGTTACCCTTTTTCAGATCCCCACATTTATTACATCTAGAATTTATTGACTAAAGATTACAGAAATTTTATGAGCAAACCTTGATACAAATGCTTTGCTCGTGGGAATTTTTTTTTAAAGAAGCTACAAGAAAGGACTTTAATCTTTTATTCCCCTTTTGAGTTTTTAGTTACAGGGATAACATTAGTTCCTACCAGGGAGTAAGGAATAGAAGGGAGATACAACTGACGCGGTTCGCCCTACCATATGATTATACATGCTTCGCAGACGGGTACTCCATTTGTATAAGAAATATTCAGAATAGGTTATTGTAAACGCGGTAAGTGTACATCAGACAAATATTTCTTATACAAATGGAGTACCCGTCTGCAAAGCATGTATAATCATATGGTAGGGCGAACGGCGTCAATTGTATATCCCTTCCATTCCTTACTCCCTGGTTCCTACCAACTCAAAAGCCTTGCTGCAAATGATTTTTTAACTCCTACTAGGTTTTTATCCCATTTATTATTCAAGGGTAGAGTCGATGAATTATCAACCACTACTTTTCATGACCATTGTCTTACTGTTAATCTAGTATGTTCTTTATCAGGGTGGGTCTCCTTTAACAACAAGTTTAAATAATGTAAAATAATGAGCTGTATTGAGCTGTACTTGTTCTGGCCCCACCAAGTTTTCCATTAAGAGAAACATGTTAAGAATAATGTTTATATATTTGAATAGAGTGACGGGTACACATTATTGAATATAGGTTTCTAATTTTAGCCATTTCTGTTAGCATTATTGGGACTTATTTTGTTTTTGCTTTCAATTATAATCAAATTGTGCTTAAATATTAAATAGCTTTTTATAATTTCCCTTTCAAATTTTTCTATTGTTTGTTATTTCTTATAATATCACAATTTTTTTTTCAAATGCCATTAACACTGAATTTTTCAAGAATTTAATTTGATTTGATTTTAGTTTTAATCGTTCTGATCAAATTGTAGTAGGATGATGATATAACCCAGAATAGTGCTCAGGGCAGTGATTAGGGTTGATTTTCTTACAGTAAACAATCCCATAGCAGAACATTCAGTTACAGCTCCGGTAGACATCCAGGCTAGACATTAAACATAATGGTTTTAATAAACACCCGATTTTCTTCTTAATTTTAACAATGTCTTCTTACTTTAAGTAAATAGCTCCAATTTTAACAGTAAAGGAATGATGCTATTTTCCCAAATTTGGTTGTTGAAAAAAGAGCGTGTACACTGTACAGATTATGAAGTCTGTATAGAAAATTAAAATTAATTGTTTTACCCCATCTTATTTTTCTTTCAAGATCATCATCACTTGTATTCTCAGCCACTGCGCTAAAAAAGTAAAGGATAATTTTTTTTTATTTTGACTGAATATCATACCTCAGTGTTTCTATAGTTTTCTGTAGATCTTCATAGCATTGTTGGCAGCACGAGGAAAGGTTCCACAATAAAACTAATGTGTAAGCCATCATTAAGACATACAACATCATTGAAGTTCCATCAGAAATATGGCCAAACGCAAATTGCATCAAGTAAAGAGAGCTGTAAATGTAATGGAATAGAATGATCGGTCCTATTCCTGTTTTAAACCCTTGATAGGCATTTATAATTATCTTGTATTCCACCAGAAACTGAGTAGAGTTGCCGATGTGTTTAAGGTTCTGACACTTGGAGGTGAATAAAGTTGTGAATATGTTAGCCAGAAAGAGAGTCGAACTGCTTTGAATTATCCACACCAAATATCTGTAAACCTGTATAGCAACGATATACCAGGAGTTTCCCAATCTACTGTAGTACATTATCATGTATGCTGTATTCAGAATGAAGTGCATTGTTATTTCAAACATCCTAGATGGCATCTTAAGTTTGCTTTCTGTTATGAGTTGACATTTCCAAGATAGGTATCCCAAACATAGTGGACTACTGAAATAGAAGGCAAGATCCAATACTTGACCGGACAAATCCAAACCAAAACTGGCCTGGTCGCGGAACCCGTTGGTTTGAGAAATCATCGACCATTGATCCACTATTGACATATCTAATAGTTTGCTAGTAATTGGTATTATGCACCAAATTATCATGCTTACAAAGAGGCTGCATGAAAATACTTTGAATTCTTTTTCCCCTTTTGAGTTTGTTTTTAAAGGTATTACATACACTCGAACCAGAAAGCTTAAGATTTTGGCAGAAACTGATTTTTTCGATAAGTCAATAATCTTTTGTTCTTTCATTTTTAAAATCGAGTGAATTGTTGTATTCAACTCAAAGGTTCTTCTTTTACTACAACTAATCTAAACTTGTGCTCTTAGTTTTTAATTTATTTGAACAAAGGGTGTTCACTGTTCATGGTAAGGTGTTAGCAAACTTTTACTTTAAAAACCTATAATTGTTGTTTGTAAAGCCTCCACTGCACCCGTAGAGTCGGTGTTTCCTTGGTTACAATTTTGCTATTTTCCAGTTACCAATACAAACTTTTTGGTGTGTAATGTTGCTGGGTTTACAATCATCCTTTTAAAATCTTTATTTGAAACTGACGTCTGCACATATAGTAAAGTAAGTAAAGGGGTTTACGTACAGAGAGTCCCAAAAACATGGAAACTAAGTGATTTTGAAAATTCTTGTCTGCCATTTTTGGTACTAGAGGTGGATTCAGTTCTCCATGGTGTGACATCAAATTTTGTACAGGCTGAGTTTGGTCCTAAAAATGTATTAAGCAGTCTCTAATTGTGGTTTTAACATAGATCTTAGTTTTTAACTGTCGGTGATAATCTGAATAAATATCAACCCTCAGCAGCTAGAAGGACGGGCTCCATCTCCTACCAGTAGTATGTGTTAATCTGTTAATATCTAGGTTCTATAATCAGCATCAGCAGCAGTTAGCTCAGCAGCTAGAAGGACGGGCTCCACCCCCTACCAGTAGTATGTGTTAATCTGTTAATATCTAGGTTCTATAATCAGCATCAGCAGCAGTTAGCTCAGCAGCTAGAAGGACGGGCTCCACCTCCTACCAGTAGTACGGGTAAACGACAGAACAAGAAAGGAAAAGATTCATATCTCTCCCAGGTAACCTTTAAACATTAAATGGACTATCGTTGTAATTTCAAGGGACCCTCCATCTAAATATAAGCATGTCTGATTGTCAAAGGTATCCCTTTATCTGATCACAAAGTTTAAGATAGCGTCATTTTTCTAGATTGAAGAGTGATTAATTCTGACAGTTAAATCCATAGTTTCTATAAGCGGAAATCCGCTTTTTTAATAAAAACCACTATTGAAGATAATCACATTTCTAAAAGAGAAATATTGTTATCTCATTCATTCTTTAGCATACCAAGCTTTAACGGATACCGTTGTAAATTGGCCATGCCATTCTATAGATAAACTAGAGGGAAGCAAATTTTTACCTTTACAGTCCCTTTAACAACCTTTCTAAAGAAAATAAGAACAATTTTCATTCTGCTTATACTGGTAATAATTGTATTTACACAAATACAAACTAAAAATAGTTTAAACACATTTTTTCGGTCGAATTTATTTATTAGAAACAATTAGTGGAATTTTTGGCCATTTTAGAGATGTGGTTCCAGTGCACTAGCCATACCTAGTTCAAACCACATTGGATTAGATCTTCATTCTTCAATAATAAAATCTAGATTTAACAGGAAAATATTAAAAACTAAAATATTCAGGGTAGTCAAGATATCAGCCAAGGATACAGTCAGGGTCCTCTAACCCAGGGGGGATTATCCCAACCTGGACTCTCTCTATCACAAACTGGACTTTCACAGACTGAATTCTCACAGGTAAAAAAACATACAATACATCACCATAAACTCAGGTTAATTTGAAGTACTGGACTGGCCTGTGATGAGCTAGAGCATGTTGTACAGCATACACGTAGACTAGTTAGGGGAAAATCATCCCCTTCTAGGGAGTTTAATGTGACACACAGACTTATCCATTAACGATGAGACTTTAATAACGACGTGTAACTTGTTAGCTATACCAATCTGAAGGTTGAACTTGTTTATATGTCCTAATTAATCCTATAATGAAATATCAAATTATTCGAGGAAGAACAAAATAATTGTACACTGTACAGTTGCGGGGAACCAAAACGTAAGAAAAAATTCTGAATTAGCTGCATCCTATTCGACGAGAGTAAAACCAATGAAAGGAATAAGAGATTATTGTAAATTTTAGCGTTCTTAGGCTCTATTTTTAGTGTAAACAATAACAAGAGTATAAACAAGACTTTGTTTTCCGGAGCAGGACTGAAGGGCCGGTCCTAAGCAATTGTTATTTACTCAATGATGTTATTTATTCAATGATGTTATTTACAAGAAAACTAGTTCCAGAGCTAAACAGTGAAATGAAAACAAGCCATCCCCCCTCTCCTTAGTTGAATATCTCATTGTTAGTAATTTAACTTTCCCAGTGTGATGACACATAATTTCTTATTTTGTAAATCCAAGTTTTTGTTATTTGAACCTAGTTATTTTCTATTTTGGAACTCTGTAGTGCACAATTCAAATCTAGGATCCTTGTTATTTTTCCTGGAAACATGGTTAAAGAATTTAAAAACATGTTTTCATTCCGTCCATAGTTGAGAAAACTTTTTCAGATTTGGTTTCTAATCAAATTCTGATTTTGACTTTACTTCTTCCTTCTTTTGATGTCAGTCATGTCATGATTTGGTTTGGTCTGTTCTGGTTTGACCTGATTTGTATCTGATTCTCATTCTCATTCTCATTCTGGTATTGATTCTGAACTTAATCCGGATTTGTATCCTGATCCTGATCCTGATCCTGATCCTGATCCTGATCCTGATCCTGATCCTGATCCTGATCCTGATCCTGATCCTGATCCTGATCCGGATCCGGATCCGGATCCGGATCATGATCCTGGTCCGGATCCTGATCATGATCCTGATCTTGCTCCTGATTTTACATTAAAATTTATTTTTATTTTTAGGATAGTTTAATTGCTGGAGATATTCATTCTCAGTTGGACGGTTTATTATCCCAGGATTCAACATATCAGGTATTCCGGAAGTCAGGGGTTTCATTTCTCTTCAAAAATCATTTTTTATTCCTTAAAGGAATATTTCCGCGTAAAGAAAATCACGAGTTTTTATTGGTTAGTTGGGTAAAATTAAAGGAGGATATTCATATAAAAAATTAAGCATGGAAGTCCCATTTTTCTGTAAATCTTCCTCCCTTCATCCATATTCCTCTTACTCTACCAATCTAATTAACCTTAACAAGTTGTATTCAAACTGGAGTGCATCATGGTTTGGAGGAAAGCAAAATTGCATTTTGACATGATTTTCTGTTCTGTAGGGAGACAGGTTTGCAAGTCAGAGACATCAGCAATACCTTTCCCAGTTCTCACAGGTAGGAATACAACATTTTATAAATAATATGATATAATTAGTAGAAATACAACATTTTATAAAAAATATAATACAATTAGTAGGAATACAACATTTTATAAATAATATAATATAATAAGTAGGAATACAACATTTTATAAATAATATAATATAATTAGTAGAAATACAACATTTTATAAAAAATATAATACAATTAGTAGGAATACAACATTTTATAAATAATATAATATAATTAGTAGAAATACAAATAATATTTAATATAATTAGTAGAAATACAACATTTTATAAATAATATGATATAATTAGTAGAAATACATCATTTTATAAGTAATATGATATAATTAGTAGAAATAATATAAATTAGATATTGAACAATTAAATTAGTAGACATATATAGATATTACTTAGATAAAAGAAACGTAGCAATATTTAACTATTAGAAATATATAACTACTGAATCAGTAGAAATATAGAACTGTTGAATCAGTAGAAATATAGAACTGTTGAACTAGTTGAAATATAACATTATTGAAATAGTAGAAATATAGAACTGTTAAACAGTAGAAATATAGAACTGTAAAATTTATGATTTTCGTTATCATCTTTGAAATAGACTGATACTAAATTTTTGTGTAAAATTCAAATTGAGATGGAGGATGCAGGTGATGTACTTTTCCTCAAAATGTTAAAAAACTTAATTTATTTGATTATCAATGTTGACTATAAAACTAGTTAGTAAGATGTCATAATATGTTACAGTAAAGTGGTAACAAACCTTATCCCCCTCTCTTCTCAGTTCTATTCTCATTGTTGACTATAAAACTAGTTAGTAAGCTGTCATAATATGTTACAGTAAAGTGGTAAAAACCTTATCCCTCTGTCTTCTCAGTTCTATTCTCATTGTTGACTATATAACTAGTTAGTGAGCTGCCATAATATGTTACAGTAAAGTGGTAACAAACCTTATCCCCCCTCTCTTCTCAGTTTTATTCTTATTGGCAATATGTATCTATAAAAAATCTTGCCAAATTTGTGTAAAAGGTAACATTTGGGGTTCTCTTGATTATTTTGAACTTCAGAACTATATTAGGTTCGTAATCATCCAATTACTTTCTGGTAATGTTAGTATAGCGGTTTCTGTTTTAAAGTACGATGGAGAATATAGTGCAATTTTACTCAGCTTGAAAAGTTTATATTATTATTATTATATTCTTGCAGGGTATTTTCTTTAATAAATAAGTTATCAGTAACATGTATGTATACTTTGTGGATATATTCTTGCAGGTTATCATATCTATTTTCACTTAAAGAATAGAATATCAGTTATATGATAGATCTATCCCTGGTTTTAGAGATACACCATGCATATATCTTGTATCTATTCTATCCCAGGTTTTCTATAGACACCCTGCGTATATCTTGTATCTATTCTATCCCAGGTTTTCTATAGACACCCTGCATATATCTTGTATCTATTCTATCCCAGGTTTTCTATAGACACCCAGTATATATCTTGTATCTATTCTATCCCAGGTTTTCTATAGACACCCTGCATATATCTTGTATCTATTCTATCCCAGGTTTTTTATAGACACCCAGTATATATCTTGTATCTATTCTATCCCTGGTTTTCTAAAGACACCCTGTATATATCTTGTATCTATTCTATCGTAGTGTAGTGTAGTTATCCGAGCTGACCGGACGTGTCTTTGTGAGCTCCCGGATTAAACTGACCGACAACCCAACACCGGGNCTATAGATACCCTGCATATATCTTGTATCTATTCTATCCCAGGTTTTCTAGATACACCTAGTATATATCTTGTATCTATTCTATCCTTGGTTTTCTTTAGACACCCTGCATATTTCTTGTATTTATTCTATCCCAGGTTTTCTAGATACACCTAGTATATATCGTGTATCTATTCTATCCCAGGTTTTCTATAGACACCCTGTGTATATCTTGTATCTATTCTATCCAAAGAGAATAGAATATATATTAGAGGGGAATTTATTAGAAAAAAGTGTAAAACGGCCATTTTGTTGTACTGTTTCCATACTGCAGGTGTACTTCACATATTTATGCTATATAACCTTTTGGGCCCTGGAATATCATTTTATAGAAAATCTAAAATTAATATTAAAAGAAAACCAAATTATGAAATAGGCTGGTTTCATAATTGACCAATCATCATTTCACATAGACTCTATGCCTTTCACTTTACAAACGTTGATTTTCCGTTATAACTATAAATGTTTTTTATTCACCTAATTCATTTTAAAGTTTATTTAACAGCTTTAGAAAATTCGATATTGAAATGGATAGTCTATGGAACATAATGTATTAATGTACTCTACTGCATATAATTTGTGAACATTTACATGGTTTGTACACTTTGAACTCCCTTTCAGGCTGAAAGGGACTGAAAAAATTCATACCGAGAGATTCTCTAAATTACCCTCTAATATATATTCTTTTCTCTTTGATTCTATCCCTGGTTTTCTAGATACACCCAGTATATCTTGTATCTATTCTATCCCTGGTTTTCTAGAGACATCCAGTATATATCTTGTATCTATTCTATCCCAGGTTTTCTAGATACACCCAGTATATATCTTGTATCTATTCTATCCCTGGTTTTCTATAGACACCCAGTATATATCTTGTATCTATTCTATCTCTGGTTTTCTAGATACACCCAGTATATATCTTGTATCTATTCTATCCCTGGTTTTCTCCCCTTCTTCAACTAAGAAAATATCCTGAGGCTGTTTTCTCTCTGCTCCAGTCCTCGGTTTCACTATTAGTTTACTGTTTAGAAGCATATCCTGTATATACTCTTCAACCCTTGCCCGACGAGGACGACGTGCATTGTAAATAAAATCAGGGAAAACTTTTTCGGCCTTTTACAATTCTAGCAACATCGGTGGGAAAGGTGGTTAAAGTAACTTTATTTTTATTTTAGTTTTCCATTTAATCCTTTTAGAGACAAACTTATCTTAAATTACAAATTGCTCATAGATAATATTAGGTGAATCCTTGCTAGATGTACTTTATTAGTTATCTGCATCACTACTCATGTATTTATAATCTCTGTTATTGATCTTTGTTTGTATTCTTCTTCTTTCTTGTCACTGAATCTATCTTTTTCAATCTTGTACATATTTTTTATTTACCTTGTTTGTCTTTGTATCTTTCTTTTTCAATCTTGTAGATCTTTATTTTTTTTTTATTATTCTGTTTCTATATTTTTCAATTTTGTTAATCTTTTATATTATTCTTGATCTTATTTGTCTCTGTAACTATCTTTTTCAACCTCAAGAAATAATAATTGTCTTAAAACATTTTTAAAAAATTCTTTTTTTGCAAATTATCTTTTTTCCATCTCATTATCTGAGTTCGTTTCCCTTTTGTCCATTGGACAGACCAACATTTTTTTTATTTTTTTTTTATGGTTATTTTATCAGTATAAATGTGAAACTAACATCTACTTTTTTACTTTACAGAGGCTTGGTCAATCACCATCACCAAATTTTAAATCTTGTTGATCTTTTTATTATTCTTGTTCTTATTTGTCTCTGAATTTATCTTTTTCAATCTTGTTGATCTTTTTATTATTCTTGTTCTTATTTGTCTCAGAATTTATCTTTTTCAATCTTGTTGATCTTTTTTTGTATTCTTGTTCTTTATTTGTCTCTGAATTTATCTTTTTCAATCTTGTTGATCTTTTTTTGTTTTCTCGTTCTTTTTTGTCTCTGAATTTATTATTTTCAATCTTGTTGATCTTTTTATTATTCTTGTTCTTACTTGTCTCTATATCTATCTTTTTCAATCTTGTTGATCTTTTTTTGTATTCGTGTTCTTATTTGTCTCTGTACCTATCTTTATTAATTTTGTAGATCTTCTTTATTATTCTTTTTCTTATTTGTCTCTGTTTCTATCCTTTTTAATGTATGCTCTTAAAAGAAAAGAAAAAATTTGTCTTTAAAAGTGTTAGTTCACATCCTTGGGCAGTATATTGACTATTGAGTCTTTATCATATTTTTATAAAGGTTTGAAAAGATTTATAAAACCAATAATAGTTGATCCTTTCTATAATAGGTTCCATTTGTTTTTATGGTTTGCCTTTAGAATTTGTTGATATTTCTTTTAATGAACCCTCAAGGGTTTGAAGAGAAATAAAATATTGTTCATTCATGCTTGATATATCCCAGAGAGGTAATCCTTCATATTCTCTCTTCTTGCGTAATCCATCATATCCTCTCTTCTTAAGTAATTCTTCATATTCTCTCTTCTTCAGTAATTCTTCATATTCTCTCTTCAGTAATCCTTCATATTCTCTCTTCTCGAGTAATCCTTCATATTCTCTCTTCTTGCGTAATCCTTCATATCCTCTCTTCTTCAGTAATCCTTCATATTCTCTCTTGTTCAGTAATCCTTCATATTCTCTCTTCTCGAGTAATCCTTCCTATTCTCTCTTCTTCAGTAATTCTTCATATTCTCCCTTCTTCAGAAATCCTTCATATTCTCTCTTCTTCAGTAATCCTTCATATTCTCTCTTCTCGAGTAATCCTTCATATTCTCTCTTCTTCAGTAATTCTTCATATTCTCTCTTCTCGAGTAATCCTTCATATTCTCTATTCTTTAGTAATCCTTCATATTCTCTCTTCTTGGAGTAATCCTTGATATTCTCTCTTCTTGAGTAATCCTTCATATTCTCTCTTCTTGAGTAATCCTTCATATTCTCTCTTCTTGAGTAATCCTTCATATTCTCTCTTCTTGAGTAATCCTTCATATTCTCTCTTCTGAAGTAATCCTTCATATTCTCTCTTGGGTAATCCTACATATTATCTCTTCTTGAATAATCCTTCATACTCTCTCTTAGGTAATCCTTCATACTCTCTCTTGAGTAATCCTTCTTGCTTTTTCTCTTGAGTAATCCCTTTATATAATCTCTAGAATTTTCCCTGTTCTCACTGTCGAAGTAATCCTTTTATATTCTCTCTTACGTAATTCTTTTTATTCTCTCTTGAGTAAACCTTTCATATTTTCTCTTGAGTAAGTGTGACATGATGGAAAACCAATAATGTTCGGAGGCTTCATGTTGGGGGGGGGGGGGGGGGGTGAAAGTACAAAGTATTGGATAAAGAAAATAGTCTAAAAGAGACGGGAAGGGAAGTTAAGGAATTTAGGTTTAATCTAAATGATTCTCTAATGAACATCTATGGTTTAAAGGGACTATAAGCATAATTTAAAGGGGCACTCCATGCAAAGAGGAAAATGTCAGATTTACAACGGTACCCTTTAAATTGACTGTTCATCGAGTGAAGATAGCTCTGTGTTTAAATATCTTGAAACCCACTTGATTTTGAATACATGTAAATCTCGGTGTATGCTGCGTACAGTGTGAACTTGACACAGCTGATTCGTTACTTGTTTTCCTTGACTTAAACGAATATATAAATTATAAAGCGGTTTCCAAAAATTCGAAAGAAAATGTTTATTTTCCGCCAATTCTAGAAACTACATTTTATATTTTTTAAACTGAAAACAGTTTGAAAACAATTAAAAGCGTTTTCGTGGACAAATGAAAAAAATCCGAAAATCGTGATCAGTCAACGGTTTTCAGGGTATCGTTGTAAATCGCGCATTGCCATCTTTGCATAAAGACTGGAGTCACTTAAAATTACGCTTACAGTCCCTTTCTGGGTCTTCAATGTCAATGTACACTTAAACCTTGTAATTTTATATACATAAGTCTACGAACTAAACAATTATAAATATATTTTTGGATATTTTTGCTCACTTCAGCTAATTATTGTGACCCAGTATATCTTGTATCTATTCTATCCCTGGTTTTCTAGATACACCCAGTATATCTTGTATCTATTCTATCCCTGGTTTTCTAGAGACATCCAGTATATATCTTGTATCTATTNCCGAGTACTAAATTATATATCAAGACGGTATACCAAGGAGAATAGCACTTATCGGATAAAGTTTATTTACATTTTACTATTATATGTAAAAACAAACCCTATCTTTGCTCTTAAGTTTTACTTTTATCGCTTCATAGCTTATACTACAACTAGCTTGGGAATCCAGCTTCACCTGAAAACCAAATTAACATCTTAACTTGGAATTCTCAAACCAAGCACAGACCATTCTAGTGGTTCTACCGAATTCGACAGCTGAAATTTGAGGCAAATCGGTCAGGGGGTTATGATCGGACAAACAAACAGACATGCAAACAGAAATTACTACTTTGATTATGTGTAACTCGACGAAACTAAAGAAAGATGTGTGAAAATAACAATATTGACAGTTGTATTGTATTTGCAGGGTGGCCAAAATGTACGGATTGTACGGATTGATTTTTTTTTAACCCTAAAATTGTACGGATTGTACGGATTGTACGGATTTGTTTTCAAATTAAATGTACGGATCTTTAAAAAAATGTACGGATTGGTTTAAAAAAATGTACGGATTGTACGGTTTAAAAAAAAAAAAATTGTACGGATTGTACGGATTGTTTTTCGAAAATTGTACGGATTGTACGGATTTCTTCTGAAAATGTACGGATTTTTGTACGGATGGGTTCAAAAAAGTTTTGGCCACCCTGTATTTGTATTCTAAACGAATGATAAAGACGTATCAAAGAGACAGGGAATGTTAATATATCTACATTTACAAAGCAGTTTTCGTAGTTTATTGAGAAAATTTTATAATCGTAAATTCTTGAAGATTCGTTAAAAAATATCAGAGAAAATCCATTATTTGTGTCACCCCAGTTTAGCTATATTTATTATTTATTAACTGAAGGGAGAGGGGAGGAAGGCCAACCACAACCATTCTTACTCCGAGCAACATTCTCATTTTCTCATCCGAGCCACCTCGAAATCCTTTTAAAAATATTTTTTTAAGTGTCCAATCCTTGAATATAATAATATATTTGAAAATCTGTTCACGTTAGGGAATAAATGAAATATTGAATTTTCTCTTACAAATTTTGAATTTGTGAAAAATGTATATACTCCTAAAACCATGTTCTACAAATAAACATCTGTCTGCAGTAGCCCTTTTTCAGTAGAATACCGCAAATTATTATCAAATTCAGTCAAAACAGCTGTTTCTATTCTTACCACTTAATTTTCACTCACATATCCTTAACGATTTAATTCATATGGTTGTGACGGATAAATTGTAGCAAATGAAATGAAATGATTTTAACAATTTAAATTAAACCTTATTTTCTCCTTGGATATTACAATCGTGTGACAGGCAGAAGTGCGACAACTAAAATTTGCCTTATTTGTAAATATATCAGAAATCAATGATTTTTTATATGGGTTGAAATGGAAATTTATAGACCACGTTAAATTTAATACTTTGATATAATTTTTGAATCATGAAAGTTTGCCATTTTGGAGGTAGAAGAGGTTTTATGTTTGAACCTAAATAAAGTTTGACATCAATCTCATGGATTTGAAGATTCCAACATTATAAAATCATTGCAACACTTCAATCTAGCCATGCTTCATGCCCTAACGTGGCAAGATTATCAAAAAATATTCTCATCTTCAAGGATTGGACACATAAAAAATATATTTTGAAAAGGACAAGGGTTTCGAGGTGGCTCGGACGAGAAAATGAGGAGAATGTGGCCCGGACTAGGAATTGTTGTGGTTGGCCTTCCTCCCCTCGAAGAGAGCCAACCCGAAACATATAGTGTACATTAGTAAACTATGAGAAACTGTTGTCGACCTAATACAAAAAAAATATCAAATAATTGATTTCATTTTATAAAAGTCTATATGATAATGATAATAATAGTAGTATCAACAGAAATGGAAGTAGTAAAAGTAGCACTCATATTGGTAATGGTAATGGCAATAATTATATGTAATAGCTCATGCTTTGTAGTTGAATAAATATTTGAATGAATGAACAGCAATATCAAAAGCAATAGCAATAGCAATTGTTGTAGCAATGGCAATGGCAATAGTAATAGTAGTAGCAATGGCAATGGCAATGGCAATGGCAATGGCAATGGCAATGGCAATGGCAATGGCAATGGCAATGGCAATGGCAATGGCAACGGCAACGGCAATAATATAAACAGTAATAGTTAAAATAATAATAGAAATCTAAAGAAAACTAATCAAAATGATTATAAAATTATTGATAGAACTAAAAGCTTAAATGATATCAAATATGGATAGATAAGAGATTATAAATAATAATTTATTATTGTATTTGAATGAATAATATTTTCAGCAGTGAAGAGTTGAAGAGTGCTCCGGTTTACTGGCTCTATATAAGGAACGGTTCATCTTATACTTATACTATCCCACCTCTAGACCTTCCCCCCTGACCCTTACACCCCCTCCTCAACAGGCCTTCCCCTTACCCTTTCACTTACACCCCCTCCTCAACTAGGCCCCCTCTTTACCCTTACACCTTCTCCTCTTCAAAAGAAATATTTGACTTGATTTTTTGTTTAAATGTATTTTTGATATCAATATGTCTGAGATTGATGTATATAGGTTCTAAACTTTACCAGGGGTCCATATAATTCCCAAAATAGCTGATTTTCTCGATCCCAAAATAATTTTTTGCCCCCAACTTTAAAAAATAATGCCACCAATTGTAAGAAAAAAATGCCCCCAATTAAAAAAACATTTTCAAATTCCACAAACACATTTGCCCCCAATTGCCCCAAATTCGGAAAAAAATTGCTCCCAATTGTAAAAAATGCCCCTAATTAAAAAAAAAAATTATATTCCACTGACACATTTGCCCCCAATTTAAAAAAAATGCCCCCAAATTTTTTTTTAAATTATCATTTAAAAACATTTGCCCCCTTTTTTTCAAATTTGTCAATCCCAAATGGGATTGAAAAAGGAATTATATGGACCCCTGAACTTTACCCATTTATCAATTTTATGAAGTTTATTAATTTCTTTATTCAAAATACGACATTTACTAAATTATAATTGTAAGAAGAGTTAGGTACGAAGGTCACCTTTTTCTTTCATGAATTAGTGTTCATTACTTTTTTCTCTCATGAATAAGTGAACTTTAACCCTTTCTTACGAATTCTTGTCGAACAAAATTCATTTTAGATTTCTAATTAATGTTTCTGGCATTTTGTTGGAAAACTTAATTATTTCTTTTTAGAGAAACCAATGAAAGTCAAGTGCAACCAGATTGTTTACGATTGTCTTGTATTTTCCAAAGTGAATTTTAGAATGAGATTTGGTCATGTAATTCATTTAATTTTGTATTTACGTCTTTATATTGCATATTGGTGTGTAGTATCCAGTCTACTCCCGGAGCAGAGTCCGTCCTAGTCTTAATTATACCCGGAGTCCAGATGAAACCGTAACAGTTGAACCAGACTCAGGGTACAGGAGACATCAGGAGCATGGAGCGGGGTGCTTCCTAGGAACCTGATCACGTGACAATCCCCTGGACTGGCCGGAGGGAGGTTAACTCTTGCCTATACCCTCATGGGTCTTCATGGCGGAGCGTTAAGGAGAATAATGCATCGTGAAATCAAATTCAGATTTATCTTTGACAAATCCTAAATTTTGCTATTATTTTCTCCATATACTTATATTCACTTCTCCCTCTTTTAATTTAAACTAAAATTGGACAAACATAATATATATTTTTATTTTTCATGCGGTTTATTTAGTGTGTCTACTGTCAATTTTTTCCTTATATTTAGTTGCATAATTAAAACAAAAATCCTGCGTGAAACAGCACCGTATTTTTTCAGAAAAATGTTTAGCTTGTAAAGAGTGGGGGAGGAGTGATCAATATGTTTGACTCCTGTTCCCCTTTCCTGGTGGGCGGCCTGCCTGAGAGGGAGCAAATCATTGGAGCATTGGAGCGGGGCACTGTTGTTACGAGGTAAAAAGATATGGAGCCCATCCTTACTCATTTAGAACCCGGTTTTGGTTAAGTTTTAGGGATCGTCATCTTTAGGACCTTTTATTTGTAGAGTTGCACGCCCAATTCACAATAGTTCTAAAATAACATTTGTCTGAGGTATCCTTGTTAATTCACCTCAAATTCATAAATCGGAAAAGTTTTGCTAATTAAGTGATAAGGGGATAAATGCAGCAGCGAAAACCAAGGAAATTGACAGAATGTATTTCTTCTCTTACTGTAAAGTGAATAATAGACTAGAGATTGGATTTAGGGAACAGAACTCTTAGAAAATTGAGTAAATTGAAACATATTTCTGAGATTCTGAAAGGAAATATATTTCAAAGAATGAATCACATGATTTCATATTATTTGGTAGGTTTTCGCAAAAGCGTTTGTTTTATTTGACAAATTTGAAAGAAATAAATAGTCCAAAAATATAATATTCATGATGGCATATTTATGTAGAACATAGATCAAAAATTGAATTTACATTTTTATGTCATGTGTATGTCTTTGAAGGAACCACGGTAACATTTTAGTTAATCATTCTAAAAGTTTGTAATATTAGTGTAGTATCTAGTACGCCATGGGTTGAATGCTTCTCACTGATGGATCTACACTCTACAGTAGATTTTAATAAAAAGTTATCTTTTATTATTTATCAAAGGATATCATGACGTTCCTTTCTACGTCATAGTTTCTAGTAAAAGAGTCAGGATCTACTGAACACAGTACTTAAAGGGACTGTAAGCGTAAATTCAATTAACCCCACATCCAAAGTCTAGCAAAGATGAAATTGACAATGCACGATTTACAACTGTACCCTTGAAAGCTTTGTCTGGTCAAGTATCGATTAAATCTCCTTGTATTTGTCTGTTTAATTTGTGGCTTCTTAGAATGAACCCCTTATCACCAAACTATCTGACACATTTTTGATCGGATAAAGGTTTCAATGGTACCGTTGTAAATCGGGCATTGCCATCTTTGCATGGAGGGTTACTTTAATAGTTAAACCGATGTAATTAAAGATTTTGTAACTTTAAAAACAGTTGATTAAGAGAGTTCGAATAAAACAAATTGCGCTTTAAAAAGCAGTATTGCTGGTAATTTACTGAACATTAAGGTACTGTCGGCATCATTTAAAGGGATCCTTCATTTAAACAAGTTACTAGCCCGATTAACAACTGTACCGTTCAGGTTTTGTGGAAAGCAGAAACCGGAGAAGAAAGCCATGCTTGTAAGACGAGAAACGATGTCGATTGTGTGGCAGAGAGCACTGGCCGGCAAGAATTCATTTGACGGAGCTGTAGACATCAGGTATATATATTATTAGATTTAAGGGACTGAAGATGTAATTTCAAGTGAACCTCCATTTTATAAAGTTGCTTGTTCGATTAACAACGCGTCGTTGCCATATAAGTGTTAAAATTCCGAAACCCCAAAATGAAATTTTTCAAAAAATGTGATTATTTTATCTTTTAAGTCAGCCTGTGGTTTCTTCTTTCACAAATATCGCAATCAATTCCTTAAAATCTTAAGTTTTGTTATGGATACCGAGTTCATCTTATTTAAAAGTTCAGACCTCAACTCCATTCATTCAGGGAGATAAAGGAGGTTAGGAAGGGTAAGCAGAGCAAGGAGTTTGACAAGTACAGCGAGGAGTTCAGAAATATGGAAGGAAAATGCTTCGTTGTCTACCACGGGAAGGAGTTTAATCTCAAATCCTTGTCCATAGTCGCCTTATCAGAGGCAGAGTGTGATACTTGGTACAAGGGACTCATGTACCTTATAGAGGTTAGTTTGCAGAGGACTCATGTACCTTACAGAGGTTAGTTTACAGGGGACTCATGTACCTTATAGAGGTTAGTTTACAGGGGACTCATGTACCTTATATAGGTTAGTTTACATGGGACTCATGTACCTTATAGAGGTTAGTTTACAGGGTACTCATGTACCTTATAGAGGTTAGATTACAGGGGACTCATGTACCTTATAGAGGTTAGTTTACAGGGGACTCGTGTACCTTATAGAGGTTAGTTTACAGGGGACTCGTGTACCTTAAAGAGGTTAGTTTACACGGGACTCATGTACCTTATAGAGGTTAGTTTACAGGGGACTCATGTACCTTATAGCTGTTAGTTTACAGGGGACTCATGTACCTTATAGATGTTAGTTTACAGGGGACTCGTGTACCTTATAGCTGTTAGTTTACAGGGGACTCATGTACCATATAGAGGTTAGTTTACAGGGGATTATGTACCTTATAGAGGTTAGTTTACAGGGGACTCATGTACCTTATAGAGGTTAGTATCAAATCAAATCAAATCATTTATTATAAGAAGATTAATATTTTTACAATATAAATATCACATAGAAAAGTATAATCCTCGTGAGGGAAAATTAATCTGGGGGGGCCATAATATTCAATTAAGAATAATTAAAATTATTGAAATGTTTGTAGGAACACATATCCCATTTTTAATACTGCAAAGAGATAATGTATATCAGAATATACATTCAAGTTTTTAAGTTTAGGTGAAGAAAGAGATGTACATACATGAAAGGTTGGAATTTTAAAATCTAATTATCTAGTGTTTAAACAACAAGGACACAATAGCCTTTCACAACAGAACCCCTTTAATTTATCAATAAGATAGGCTTTAGAGGCAGATTTAAAAATATTTTTAGTTTCGGACTGCTTAATTTCAACAGGAAAATTATTCCATGCGGAAGGAACAGATACAAAAGGGAATCTTCTAAGAAATTCAGATCTGACTCCGGGTACAAAATAATCATTAGCATTTCTAAGTCCTGGATTACAGGGGACTCATGTACCTTATAGAGGTTAGTTTACATGGGACTCGTGTACCTTACAGAGGTTAGTTTACAGGGGATTCATGTACCTTAGAGGTTAGCTTACAGGGGACACATGTACCTTATAGAGGTAAGTGTACAGGGGACTCATGTACCTTATAGATGTTAGTTTACAGGGGACTCATGTACTTTATAGAGGTTAGTTTACAGGGGACTCATGTACTTTATAGAGGTTAGTTTACAGGGGACTCATGTACCTTATAAAGGTTAGTTTACATGGGACTCATGTACCTTTTTTATTATTAAACAAAACTTCTGGGGGACTTTATTCCCCGTATGAAGCCACACCCATCAGTACTTCCCCTCACGATACGTGTACAATTACGCCTGGGGTCGTCTGTTTGTAAACCGCCTAGGGCATGTTCTATTATTGAACCCAGGATGTAAGCGTACCGGGTGTTGGGATTATCGGGAACCTGAGTAGACCGAGCCCCAAGGTTGACATCCACCTCTTGTACCTTATAAAGGATGGTTTACAGGGGACTCGTTTACTTTATAGAGGTTAGTTTACAGGGGACTCATGTACTTAATAGAGGTTAGTTTTGTGTAAATTCCTTTTTTGGCTTTGAAAAGGCTTAAAAAAAAGATATTATTTTACAAAATCATTTAGACACATAAGTTTCAACGCGTGTAATATCACGGTAACAACAATTGTCGCTTGAAGCAAAACTCCTTTTAAAACTGTTTCCAACTGATATGAATTCAATTTAAAACTTAATTAAATAAATCTTTCTAGTGCTCAAGGGTGTACATTAATAAAAGTTTCCACCTACCGTTTCTTCTCTAAATTATGTAATTCAACGAACAATAAGCTCAACATTTTCGAAATCATAAACAAAGATGGATCCTGTATTAAAAAATGACTTTAAAAGTTCAAGAGGTGACTTCGTTCAGAAGTTTCCGTTTGCCAGCATGCTGAAAGTATCAAAAACTTTTTTCAAGCCGAAGACAGATTGCCAGGTTGTAAGTATATATATATTCGCCAAAAGAAAGTATGAAGCCATGGTTTTATTTGTTTAAGCATTTGGAAGGGAGTTGAAGGAAGCTTATTTCGGATATTCCCAGGCCCATTCCAAGGAAAAATCCTATCAAATCAAGAAAGATTTCCTCATGTTCAGGTTTCCAAATTAAGTACAGTGATAACCAGAATACTCTGAAATAGGATTACGACTTTTTAGCAGTAATTAAGTGTATTTTATATTGCTGCAAAGAAAATAGTTTTGCAAGACACTTATAAAATCAATTATTATGTGAAATGGGTCTGTTTAAATTGCATTATTGCTGTGTCGCATGCTCATTGGACTATTTAAAGTCATAACTTGAGTCTAAAAGTCGTCTTAATGTTCTAGAGTTTACTGGTTATCACTGTAAGAAAGAAATTTAAAGGAAGCATGGCTAAAATCTTTATTATGAATACGAAACTTAAAAGCTTTTAACGTTTACAGCGAAAATAGGGTAATAAGCTCTGCTAAGAATCTTCAAATCTATGGTTCAGCTTTACCTTTCATTTGTGACTGAAACCTTAAAATCAAGCAACTTTAAAAAAAGCAAACTAGATACAGATAGTACAGAGCGTCCCATATCATATTAGACTATCTCCAAGCTTCAATGCAAAAATAAACTCATAATACTCGAAAAACCTAACATTTTCTGCAAGAAAAAATTTATTTATTCAATTTTACGAAATGATATATTCTTCTTAATATTTCTTATTAGTCCCAAAAAAAAACATAATTTAGACTGATTAACGATCTAATATGATATGGGACACCCTGTATAATCCCAGCCCTGCCAACCCTCAAGAGAATCATCATTAAAGAGAAGAAGTAGATGGACACAAATAAGAGCCCATGTAGAGTTCAGAAGGTTGATAGTGTTTGTGTCTACTGTCCAGAGGGTCGCAGATGTCCAAAAACAATTACTAAATCATTTCCAAATCCGATTTGTTTTGCATGGACTTGTTCGATGTTCATTATAACGAATATTAGGTAAATACGAATTCACAAGATTGTATTTCCAATATTGAGAGCTCTAGAATTCAAAATGTAAGTGGGAACCTTTTTTCATGTACACCCTTTACATACTAATTTTGGCTTTAATTTAAATATTTCGTTGCCTGTGTCCATTTTTTTGTTACATTTTTTAGCAATAACACTTCAAAATTTAAATGACTAAATTGGTAATTAGGAAAATTTAAAAGCGACATATATTCAGATTATTCGTTGGCTCCTAAAATGTAAAAGAATTAGTATTGTTATGAGTTAGGATCTTTTAAAACTTCTCGTTAAATATTTTTTACTTATTTTTGTTAGCCACCATAATGTAGAGATCAAGGTTTTAATATGCATTATTTTTAAGTAAACATTTCTTCACAGAAATTTGAATAATTTTAAACTCAGATTTTGTTTAATTCATATATTTTACATGGTGTAGCTTGTAAACCATTTACTATAAACTTGACACTGTTGGCACGTACATTGTACTTAGTCATTAAAACCTGCAGTACGGTGTTGTAATGTACACTTACTTACTTGGTTACTTACTCTTAATATTACACTCATATACTGTATTGAAAGTATAACAATCACTAAAATAATATGGATACAATTCCACAAAAAAAGTAATTTTTATTTATGATCTATTGACATGTTAAAATGTTATATCTTCGTAAGAAAAAGCTTTTAACACCATAAAAAAAAGTTAGATGCAAATTAAAGAAATAGCTAAAGTAGAAAAGGTCAACTCGGACCAACAATCGTTATTTTTTTTTCTCAATGAACTATAAAATAATGTTTAGGATGTGAACTCGGCAAGCTATGGATTAAGTTTACAACGATGGTTTCGTAAATGTTTCTATGAGATGGAAACCCCTGGGAAGGAAGGCGTCATCTCCTTTCAGGAGTTGAAGAAGTTTATGCAGAAAGTGAATTACAAAGTGTCCGCGAGCTCGCTCAAGGATAAGTTTATGGTCTACGACACCAAGAAGTCCGGGGAGATTTTCTTTGACGATTTTTGTTCCATGTTCCAAGATTTAGTCTTCTCTCAACAAATGTTCACAGCAAACTTTGCAAGGTTAGTAAACGGGTATATAACATTATAACTAAGCTGTTTTCCTTTTGAACCTTTTTGCTGGACGTTTTTTATTCCTCTCTCATCCTTACTGTCCAGTAGTGTATAATCTAATCAGCTCTCTAATCCATGTTTCAACTGTCCAGTAGTGTATAATCTAATCAGCTCTCTAATCCTTGTTTCAACTGTACAGTAGTGTATAATCCAATCAGCTTTCTAATCCATGTTTCAACTGTCCGGTAGTGTATAATCTAATCAGCTCTCTAATCCTTGTTTCTACTGTCCGGTAGTGTATAATCTAATCAGCTCTCTAATCCTTGTTTCCACTGTCCAGTAGTGTATAATCTAATCAGCTCTCTCATCCTAGTTTCAACTGTCCTGTAGTGTATAATCTAATCAGCTCTCTAATCTTTGTTTCAACTGTCCGGTAGTGTATAATCTAATCAGCTCTCTAATCCTTGTTTCCACTGTCCGGTAGTGTATAATCTAATCAGCTCTCTAATCCATGTTTCCACTGTCCGGTAGTGTATAATCTAATCATCTCTCTAATCCATGTTTCAACTGTCCGGTAGTGTATAATCTAATCAGATCTCTCATCCATGTTTCAACTGTCCAGTAGTATATAATCTAATCAGCTCTCTCATCCATGTTTCCACTGTCTGGTATTGTATATTCTAATCAGCTCTCTCATCCTTGTTTAAACTGTCCGGTAGTGTATAATCTAATCAACTCTCTAATCCTTGTTTCCACTGTCCGGTAGTGTATAATCTAATCAGCTCTCTCATCCTTGTTTCAACTGTCCGGTAGTATATAATCTAATCAGCTCTCTCATCCATGTTTCCACTGTCCGGTATTGTATATTCTAATCAGCTCTCTCATCCTTGTTTCAACTGTCCGGTAGTGTATAATCTAATCAACTCTCTAATCCTTGTTTCCACTGTCCGGTAGTGTATAATCTAATCAGCTCTCTAATCCATGTTTCAACTGTACAGTAGTGTATAATCCGATCAACTCTCTAATCCATGTTTCAACTGTCCGGTAGTGTATATTCTAATCAGCTCTTTCATCCTTGTTTCAACTGTCCGGTAGTGTATGATATAATCAGCTCTCTAATCCATGTTTCAACTGTCCAGTAGTGTATAATCTAATCAGCTCTCTAATCCATGTTTCAACTGTCCGGTAGTGTATAATCCAATCAGCTTTCTAATCCATGTTTCAACTGTCCGGTAGTGTATAATCCAATCAGCTCTCTAATCCATGTTTCAACTGTCCGATCCAAATCACCAGCATAGAGCAAACAAAATTATTTACTTCTACTGAAACAGGGGCCCTGCATAAAAAAATATGAAATAAAAATTTTGAACTTCACCTTTCAAGTTTTTTTCCTGTATTTGAACCTTTTGCTTGTCTTTCAAGCTTATAAGAAAATATATACCCTGAGTCCCCTCTTCACTTTACTTTACTTTCTGCTCATCGAAAGATATTGTTAACGCCTTTTCTAGCCTGTCTAGTTTGTTCAGTTAACATCATTAGTGTACAACGATCATGTTACTTATTTCTGTTTTTTTCACTCTTTTCCTAGTTCTCATAATTTTTCCTTGACAACTGATAATTTCTGATTTTATTTATTTTTACATTTTTCATACAACCCAACTTTTCCTACTAATAGTCTCTAATCCTAACTTCATTTTCTTCCTTTCTTTTTCATTTTGCATGCTTACTTTTGATGTAGGAGCATTTTATAGAAGAACATTTTACAGAAGAACATGTGACAGATCAGGACCTGGGCAATGTGAGAGCTCTTTCAGATTATGTGTTCTTAAAGGAATTAGTAATGGAGAGTTTGACGCGAGTAATCAATTTCTTTGTCTCCTAATACCATCTCTACATGGTTAATTATACTCTAGGTACTCCAAGGACAACAGGACTGTTACACTTCAGGAGTTCTCAGCATTCCTCCGGGAGGAGCAGAATCAACCGGAGAAAAACGAAACTGTGGCTTGCATCATGCGGGAGTTCCTTCAGGTAGGATAGACAGAGACCATTATTAATGAGGGTAGAAAGGTTCTTTTATCAAAATCTAAGATAATATTTTAGGATTTGACACTTTTCCCGATTCTTTTCCCCTCACAAGTTTAGAAATATTGGAATTTTGTATTTTAAGAAACTGAATTAAATTACAGGACCCGAGCAGGAATACTCAGCAGCCGTTCTTTTACATCAGGGAGTTCCTGGACTGGATTTTCTCCGGGAGTAACACGTTACTAGATCCTAGTGTTAGGGTTGTGTATCAGGTAAATACACAATTACACACTATAGCTACTGCTCACTACTGTACAGCAAGTGGATAAAACTCGGACGGTATATTAAGAGAATACTATTAATTGAAACTCTGTTTCCTTACTGGGGGTATAAATAAATTTATATAAATTTTTTTAGTAATAAAGAAAAAAGAGAAAATTGAAAAGTAACGATTTAAAAAATATTGGTATCTACAAAATTGTCTCGCCTAGTTTATAAAACCGGGTTTCTAATTCTGGGTTTCATGACGATTCCCGGCCTGACGCGCCCTGGTGTGTACAGCTACTATAGACTTCACTGTACAGTACACAGTACAACTAGTTTGTTCAACTATTGTGTACAACCTGTGTGTACAGTAAACAGATAAAGTTTAAGTTTTATTTCTTGTGTACAACTTCTGTTAACTACGTAAGTTTGTACTGTTTAACTATTATTCATGGCTTGGCTATTCCAAATATTGTTTCAGAAGCTGGAAGGTTGGATTTACTCCGAACTGTTTTGTAATCTAATTCCCACTTGTTCCAATTCTATGGGGGAAAACAGATAGACTTTTTTAGCCTTTTAGAGAAAGTTTTTAGACATTTCTGAATTAATTTTTCACGGCCATTTTCATTTTATGTACAAACTTACACGATACATTCAGTTGGACCCCCATTTAGTGACCCTTTCATTTATATATTTTATTGACTCCGATTGATGAATTGCTAAGGAGTTTGTGACTTGTGGTTCCCTTTATTAAGATCTTAAGTAATATTTAGTTCTTACGCAATCAAAGATTTCCACTTTAATTTGATATTGATGAATGTAGTGATAAAAAATGAGTTAGTTCGTAGACAGTACTAAGACTATTGAAATAAAACACCTAACTATAAGAATTTTTATTTTTAACATCTAAAACAATCAATCTCTTGAAAGGATACTATCCAATACATTTGGTTTTTTCTCTTTTTGATGATTTTTAAACTAGGATATGACCCGGCCACTGTCTCACTACTGGATAGCTAGTTCTCATAACACATATTTAACAGGTCAGGCAAAACGCCCCCAAACCCCCCCCCCCTTATACAATAATTATTGCCCGCTCTCCATGTACATTGTACAGATTAAACTGTATTTATAATATGTATGAATAATTGTATACTGAAGGTAGGAGGAATTGGGTTTAGTTGTGTAAACATTTGACCTACCTTTTTTTAAACTAAAACTATCTAAATTTTAGAAGAAATGTCGATCAATGTCAAGAAGTTTTCGTAGATTTTTTTAATTCGTTCATTTTACCTCACTTTCAGGTGATCAGGTAGCAAGTGATTCTAGCGTTGACGCATATGCCCGTTGCCTGCGTCAGGGTTGCCGGTCAGTTGAGTTGGACTGCTGGGACGGTCAGGACGGATACCCCTTCATCTATCACGGGCACACCATGACCTCTAAAATCAAGTTTAGAGATGTTATCAAATCTATCAAAGAGCATGCTTTCGTCAAGTAAGTGAATGATAAATCAACGAGTTACCCACAAAGGATGAGATTGTAACGAAGTTAAAAAACTCTAGAATATAGTTTCAAATTGGCTTATTCAATTATTATTGAATTATTTAGCAAAGAAAGCAACAAGTTTACTGGAATACTAGTTAACCCTGTACTGTAGTTAAAAGCAGGATGAAAGTCGTCTTCTTTTTATTTAAAACGTCTTAAAACTCTCTTTTGTAACTCTGAAAACATGCCCTGAGTAAAAAGCAAGATGAAAGTCGTCTTCTTTTTATAAAAAAAAAACGTCTTAAAACTCACTTTTGTCATTTTGAAATTATGCCCTGAGTAAAAAGCAGGATGAAAGTCGTCTTCTTTTTATGAAAACCGTCTTAAAACTCTTTTGTAACTCTGAAATTATGCCCTGAGTAAAAAGCAGAATGAAAGTCGTCTTTTTATTAAAAACGTCTTAAAACTCTTTTGCAACATTGAAATTAATCCTTAAGTAAAAAGCAGGATAAAAGTCGTCTTCTTTTTATGAAAAACGTCTTAAAACTCTTTTGTATCTCTGAAATTAATCCTTAAGTAAAATCAGTCGTCCTTTTATAAAAAAAAACGTCTTAAAACTCACTTTTGTAACTCTGAAATTATGCCTTGAGTAAAAAGCAGGATGAAAGTCGTCTTTTTTATAAAAAAACGTCTTTAAACTCACTTTTGTAATTATGAAATTATGCAGGATGAAAGTCGTCTTCTTTTTTACAAAAAAAAAAAACTTCTTAAAACTCGCGTTTGTAATTCTGAAATTAAAAAGTATGATAAAAGTCGTCTTCTTTTTTAAAAAAACTGCTTTAAAATACTGTTTTGCAACTCTGAAATTATGCTCTGAACATTTTTAAATCCGTTACAAACGAATAAGTCTTTTGCAAGAAGTGTAAAGACGGAACTTAGTCTACTTTCAATAAACTCGTTTATTTATGTCAGCTTTGTATTCGTTCTGTTTCCAAGATTTCACATGCGTCAGAAATCAAAATAACAAGTCAGGCAATGCAAGGTTCAAATATCTTTTTAAGTGTCTTTTCTGTAAAAACTGTTACAAACTGTAAATTTGGAATTCAATATTTTCAGAGCTAATTAATTTCATCTAAATTTAATTAATCTCTCCCTTTGTTGGTAAAGGGACTGGAAACATAATGATGTTGGTCACACAAGATTTGCCCCCTGCATGTTAACAAATGCTCTGTAACTTACTGAGTTTTTAGTTTGAAAATGATTTCAGTTTCAATTCTTATTTACAAATTACTAAAGATTTATGCTTTCTTTAAGACTATTTTGATGTACAAACATTCTAGAATTAGCACAAATACTTTATTTTTATTAACAGGGAGTAATGTCCTAATTTTTTGATAAATGTTAAGATCTGACAAATAAAGTAACAGTCACTTTAAAATCTGAAATTTTGAAATTATAAATTGTATTTTCAATATTTTAGTTCTGAGTATCCTGTAATCCTCTCAATAGAGGATCATTGCTCTCTACCTCAACAGAGGAAAATGGCAGAGTCCTTTCAGGTTGGGATTGGGGATGGGATTGTGATAAGGATTGGGATGGGTAAAAAAAATTGGAGTGGAGTTGATTTGTGATGGGCTCGGGGATTTGGGAATTAAAGAATATTTTATTATAAACTCAGTATTTTTAGTGAGCCTTTAGCTATGTATTGGGATTTAGAGATTGGTGAGAGTCGGGAGTATTGGGATTGGTAAATGGGATGAGAAGTTCAGAAAATTGGGTGTCAAAATAATTTACGGGTAAAGCCATCTACATTCTACATTCTGCAATCTACTTACTTAGTAATTGTAGTCGCGATCTGCAGATTCTAACAGTAAAATTAATCAGGATTTCGTCATCAATTTCTCTCTTTTTAAGACTAACAATCTTACAAGTCCCTCTTCATTTATAAAGTAGCAAATCTATTTACAACAGTAACTTTAAGAGCTTTGACTGCTCAAGAGTGCAAGTAATATCCATAATTTTCTCTCTGAAAATTTTATGATTTTCAATCATTTTTAGTGGCTTGTTTATTTTTGCTTGAAAAACAATGATTGAACTTGTTAGAATTAAACAATTTCAAGCTAGAAAAACGACGTTTTCTTCTTCATTTTTGATCCGATTAAACGGTTAAAAGAATTAAAATGCATGCCCTTTTTAAATTAAAGGTCACTTGAAATTACAAGGACAATCCCTTTAGCCTCAAGCGATTGAAAATACGGATATTTTCTTGATTTGAATTTGCCAAATAAAGTTCATAAGCTCTAAATATTTTATAATCCCGGGTTTTTTAAATAGTTAAAATAAATCCTATCCTTGACGGACGGGGATCGGAATATGAATTGGATTGGGATCAAGATTAGGATAGGGATTGGGAAAGGGATTGGAATTCAGATTGGGAAAAGATATACATATTAATTTCGGGATCGGGATGTATATTATTGAGTTTGGTCTGGGATTAAGATCGAGATCGGGATTAGAATTTGACCGGGATTAGAATTTGACTCTTTGTTTTTTAGGAAGTATTCGGAGAGATGCTGTTGGTAGCTCCTGTAGATAAGAATGAGAAGGAACTGCCGAGTCCTGAGAGCCTCAAGAGGAAAATAATCCTGAAGCATAAAAAGCTGCCGGATGGAACAGATGAAAATGCTGGAGTTCTTCTTGATCTTGATTCCTCCAAGGAAAGATGAGCAGTCAGCACTTCATAACTCTCGTCTTTATTTCATTCTTGTTTTTTATTCATTTTGGATTTTTGCAAATTTTCAACAACAAAATAGCAGCTTCTTGAAGTAGAGCTTTCCTAAAATGTATCTAATGTCATAATTTCAATAATCCAATCTCTATTCTTATTCTTTATTCTTCTTAGAGTACAATCTAAGTTCTATTCTTTTCCTTTAATCTTGTATAAGTACAATCTAAGTTTAATTCTTTTCCTGAAATCTTGTGTATAAGTACAATCTAAGTTCTATTCTTTTCCTTTTATTCTATTTAGAGTACAATCTAATTTCTAATCGTTTCCTGTAATCTTGTAGAAGTACAATCTAAGTTCAATTATTTTCCTGTAATCTTGTTTAGTAGTTATCTAAGTTCTATTCTTTTCTTGTAATCTTGTAGAAGTACAATCTAAGTTTTATTCTTATCCTATATTCTTGTAAAAGTGCAATTTAAGTTCTATTCTTATCCTATATTCTTGTAAAAGTGCAATTTAAGTTCTATTCTTATCCTATATTCTTGTAAAAGTACAACCAAATTTCTATCATATTCCTGCATTCTTGTGAAAGTGCAATCTAAGTTCTATTATTATCCTATATTCTTGTAAAAGATCAATCTAAGTTTTATTTTTAATCTATATTCTTGTAAAAGATCAATCTAAGTTTTATTTTTACCATATATACTTGTAAAAGATAATCTAAGTTTTATTTTTATCCTATATACTTGTAAAAATGCAATCTAAGTTCTATTCTTATCCTATATTTTTGTAAACGATCTATCTAAGTTTTATTTTTATCCTATATACTTGTAAAAGTGCAATCTAAGTTTTATTCTTATCCTATATTCTTGTAAAAGATCAATCTAAGTTTTATTCTTATCCTATATTCTTGTAAAAGTACAAATAAGTTCTATTTTTATCCTATATTCTTGTAAAAGTACAATCAAAGTTCTATTCTTATTCTGTATTCTTGTGAAAGTGCAATCTAAGTTCTATTCTTATCCTATATCCTTGTAAAAGTGCAATCTAAGTTCTATTCTTATCCTATATTCTTGTAAAAGTACAACCAAAGTTCTATTCTTATTCTGTATTCTTGTAAAAGTACAACTAAAGTTCTATTCTTATCCTGTATTCTCGCAAAAGAAGTTTTGTTCGTATCCAATATTCTTGTGAAAGTACAATCCGAGTTCTATTCTTATCCTTTATTCTTGAAAAAATACGAACTAATTTCTATCCTACATTCTTGTAAAAGTACAACCAAGTTTCTGATTCTACTCACGTACTGGATTTCTCTCTGTCAACATGGGTTATTTTTAGCTATTAATCTCTACTTGAAAATCAATATTCTTGCAATTCTCCAATATCAAAGAAATAGACAGGGAGTAAGTTAAAATTAAGAAGAAACATTAATAATGTGTTCTTCTTAAAATTGGCCTTAATGGACAGTTCTTGGCTCCCATGTTCGTCGGGTTCTCTTTCATCTTTTTTTATAAAATGTACAATAATATTGATTTACCTCGCTTTGAACAAAAATGTTTAATTTGTTTATATTCTGACGTAAAATTCTATCAAGATTTTACCAAATACTCTTTTAATTTTATAAAAAAAAAGCGTTGGGTATATTTTAAATCTTTAAATTAAGGGCTAAAATAAAATAAAAAATCAAGGGGTTGGTAGGGTGACAGTTCAAACTTCTAAGTTGGTCTTTTTGCTGTGACAAAAAAATATATATATTTTTGCAATAACTTTCTTTGATGTTGTTTGTTGACTGCTGCACTAAATATAGACGATGGATCTGTCGGACACTGTGAAGAACGGTATGTTGTATATGCAGGAGAATATCGACGATCTTTGGAAACCACACTTCTTCGTTCTTACATCCAGGCAGATGGTTTACAGCGAGCTTCCAGGTGGGAACTGTTAAGGGAATTGTTTATTAGGATGACACACGGTTCACGGTTCTCTGGGTGATTTCAACCCTTAGTATTTAAATGCAAGAACATTTTTTGCTCTAACGTGGTGAACTGAGGTGGAAGTAGTCACAGGAAAAATATCTGGATTTTTGTTAATTACAGGGGGACAATTCGACACTTTGTGACACTACAGTTTGTAGAGGCTACATTTAGTTCTAAAACTTAAGATAAAAGCTGAAATTTTGCATGCAATCTACGCCTGCAAAATCTTGATTTTTGATAGACTTTTGATGGAGGGACACAATAAGAGGCTGCTTGCACAGCCTTTATCTCATGTGGTTTTCATGTTAAATTAAAGGGCCTGCTCGGTTCAGCCGCTAATTGGACAAATTATTTAAACAGATCAACAGACAAACTAAATATTTATATAGATTGATGGCGGATACATTTAAGTGAGTGGAATTACATTTAACCACTTCATCTGTAAATGACCTTAATTGTCTCATTATTTATGTTTTGAATGCTTCTCCGAAATTATTTGCGTAAACGTAGATCTTGATCTTCATGAATTTGTTTTCAGGAGAACAGGAGGATGAGGATAATGATTTCTCAGAGACCGAGAGTATTCGGAAAATCTCATCCACCTCCAGTATTAAATCAGATATAGATATGTCGGAACTACATTTCTCCGAGTCCTGGTTCCATCGGAACCTTCAGCACGGTCGGAACTCTGCGGAGCAGATACTCAAGGGTGCAGCTAGCCTTGGAGATGGAACGTTTCTTGTCAGGTAAAGGAACTTAACATGTTTATGTTCTAATATCCATATCTTTGCAACCTGAAGTCGTTTATTTTCGATATTTCAAACTGAAATGTATTGAATCAAATGATTATTAATTTAAGTTTGAAATGTCACAGGCTTTTGTCATCATGTTGCAAAGATTAAGGGATTTGCAGATTAAAATATTTTGCTAGTGTTCAGTTCCTTACAATAAACACTGCACTGATCACTGCTCAGTGCTCACCAAATTAAATCAAATCACACTGTTAGAGTTTTCCCACTTCGACACTACAATTGTGTGACGTGACGTGACGTGACGTGACGTGACGTGACGTGACGTGACGTGACGTGACGTGACGTGACGTGACGTGACGTGACGTGACGTGACGTGACGTGACGTGACGTGACGTGATTTAGGACGAAAAACTAAAGCCAATATTTTGATAAAACGTTATTTTAGACCGAGTGAGACATTTGTTGGAGATTACAGTTTATCCTTCTGGCGGAAGAACGAGGTGCATCATGTTCCTATTCGGGTTCGCCAACTAGATACTGGGGTTAAACGATACTATATGATAGATAAGGTAGATAGTACTTCAAACGGGCGGATTTTCAATGGGGCTGTCATTGTAATTTTAAATGATTCTCCATTTAAAGTGGACCTTTCCTGATTCACAATTGTATTCTTTATTTATATGATCAATAAATGTCAAAGAGAGAAACCAAAATTGTAAATAATGAAGATAGGATATCTCATTCATTATTGAGTCTTTACCATTTAAATGTTATATATATTTTGTTGATAAATCATTTAGGAATGTAGTGCATGTTCACTAAACTACAGCTGGTCGACGTTTAAATCAATACAGTGAAGACGACTTTTTAAGTTTTGATTTATAACTGCTTGCTTCAAATTACAAGTTTACAAGTAAACAAAGAGAAGCTGTTAATTGACAGCTTCTCTTTGTTACCATGTTTATGTGTATCCATACTGTTTGAAAGCTTGATAGAAATTAAAAATTGTAATCAAAGTCGTCTTCATTGTAGTGATATATGCAACGACGACTGTACATTTAAAAGATAATATAAAGTATCTGAAGGTCTTAATTTTTCGGGTTTTTTCCCCATTTTGAAAACCATAAAAATATAAATATCACTGATTTAATTTCAGGTATATTTTGACAGCTTATTTGATCTGATAACTCACTACCAGACACACCCACTCAGATCCAGTAAGTTTAGTATAACCCTGGGGAAACCGGCTCCACCCACCAACCCTCACGAGGACCGCCCCTGGTTCCACGGCCAGCTAAGCCGGAGTCTAGCAGAGGATGTATTGTCTAGTATTCCGGTAGATGGAGCCTTCTTGGTTCGACAAGGAGAACGGGTTTCAGGCAGGGGAAATATTCATCTAAAAACTGTCAAAATCTCTTCAAAAAATGTCCTAAAGAAATTAACATTGGTTTATAAAGTATAAAAAAGATTGTCAAATTTTTCATTGAAATCACCTACACAGTACGCATCTGTGAATTTCTTAATTGCCCTATATTCTTTTTCCCTTACCCGATAATAGGAAATTATGCCCTTAAGATTCATTTACATCTTCAACTTAACCTTTTTCGCTAAAATTTTTGTTTTAATTATGTGTTTTCCTTTTTTCAAAACTGGAATATGCCCTTTTGTCTAAGGATCTTTTGCAATCTCATTTCGAGCTGACAACAACGTGAAGCACTGTCTCGTCAAACAGGAAGGACGCTTGTACGTTATCGGAGCAGCGCAGTACGAAAGCCTGGTGGATCTCATAGCTCACTACGAGAAGAACCCGCTGTACAACAAGGTCAAGCTGAAGATGCCCGTCACGGAAGAGTTGATCCAGAGAAATGGAGGTGTTGGGTCGAATGGAGATGTATACTGCAGTGTAGAGTACATGGATCCGAACCCATTCAATAACAAGGCATGGGGTTTATTTACATAATATACGACATACGTACAGTCAGAACCAGACAAATGTGGACTGAATGTCAACTTTGTTCTAAATTATATTTAAAAAGTGTATCAAAGGATTTTGACTCTGAAACTGATTTATCTTTTGATTTTCGCTGTCTGATTTTTGAAATAAAAAAGACGACAATAATTTTACTGTTTCTGTTTCTCAGAGTTCAAAAATAAGTTTTGCAAATACTTTAATTAATATATCCCTGCACTAAAGGTTTGTGCCAAAGCTTTATATGATTACACAGCGCGACGAGATGATGAGTTAACGTTTAAACGTGGAACTCTGATCACTAATGTAGTTCAACGGGACGGAGGCTGGTGGAAGGGGGATTCTGGAGGCAAAAAGCAACTCTGGTTTCCCGCTAATTTTACTCAGTTAGAAGAGGGGAACGGACAAGACGAAACTGATAACACACCTTTAGGAAGTCTGCAGAAAGGAAGCATTGATATATTAGGAGCTAAGGTTGATCTTATTGAACGACAAGGACAGTATGGAATAAAGATCGAGAACAGTTCAACTGCAGTTGAGCTCCACTCCAGTACAAAAGAAGAAGCTCAGGATTGGGTTGTAAAAATCCGCGAAACTGCAAACAACGCCTCCATTAGGGATAACGAATCAAGAAGAAAGGAACGAGCGATGAAAATAGCCCGTGAACTCTCTGATCTTGTCATTTATTGTAGATCTGTAATGTTTAACACAGAGAAGAGTATGAGAAGAGAACCCGGCCTCTATTGTGAAATGTCCAGCTTTCCGGAGGCCAAGGCTGAGAGGCTGATGCTAGGAGTGAATGGAGATCCTAAAATGTTTTTGTGGTACCACCGAACCCAGATATCTAGGGTATATCCTAAAGCTCAGCGTGTGACCAGTGATAACTACAACCCTGTACCAATGTGGGGTTGTGGGAGTCAAATGGTTTCGCTAAATTACCAAACCGGAGACAAACCGATGCAAATCCATCAAGGTATGAATTTTTTTTTTCTACCAAAAACTGAAAATGAAACTTTTATCATCGTAAATTTATTTTCTGTGGATTAAGTTCTTAATTATAGGGAAGTTCCTGGATAATGGAAACTGTGGTTACCTACTCCGACCTGACTATATGTTCTCCGATACCTATCATTCTAATGATGCATCAACCCTTGCTCTAAACAATGTGAAACCTCTGGATTTGACAGTTTTGATTATAGGTGCTCGGCATCTTATGGGCTCCAAAAGCAAACGCGGACTTGTTTCTCCTTTCGTAGAGATAGAAATCGTCGGCTCCGACTACGACTGCCAGAAAATGAAAACCCGGGTTGTGAATGATAACGGGTTAAACCCTGTTTGGGATGAAAGTTTCAGTATACGGATACTGAACCCGCCGATGGCATTGTTCCGACTAGCGGTTTATGACGAAGATATGTTCGGAGAACCTAATTTCCTAGGTGCTGCTACGTACCCCTGTACCTGTATATTGACAGGGTACAGAGCTGTTCCTCTCAATAATGGACATAGTGAAGAACTAGAATTATCCAGTTTACTTGTTAAGGTAGGTTCTCCAAAAAAAAATATTAGAAAAGCGAAACCTATAACGTTTAACGAGTGAGGGCGACGACATAGTGCATTAAGTCCGTTCGTTCTGTTTAATTTGTTCCATATATTTTCTTTAAGTGACAAAATTTGGCTTAGTGTAAGAAGAGCAAATGTTTCCAAAATTTCCTAATTCTAACTTTTCCATTTCTTACACTATGCCAAATTTTGACCCTCTGAATCTACTGGGTGACAGGTCTGCATTATCGTATGTCACACTAATTTCCGAACACAATTATTTTATAATTTACTCTTAATCAAGTTTAATTAACTTAGATTGAGAAGAAGAAAGAAGTTGATGTAGATATTCTTGGTTCCACAGACAACGGTACCGGTAGCTAGCCCAGGTAAACCGAGCTGAAAACTTTAGGATTGTGGATATTGAGATCAATGCCTGAACTTCTCTTTTTGTTTATTTCAAGATTAATTTAATCTGAAGTTTGTAATCACAAAAGTGAGCTTAACTCAACCAATCAATGTGCGTTAGCGTTTGAAGAAACCGGAAAAGCCAATCAGAGAATTCGGAAAATTTGTTTTTTTTCCTCGCATTTACTGAGTGAACTGTTGGAAACGGGAAAGGAGAGAAAAAGGGCGGACTAAGCAGGAAATTTAAAGAACTAAAGAATCAATTCTCAAGAATCCAATCGAAATAGCGCTGATTTTAACCTGTTTCTTGATCAAAAAGTATCTTGTCTGCCTACAAAGTCCAAAACGATGGAACATTTTTTTCTGTGCGCCTCTTAATCATGTAAAGCAATATATGTGAAATCACGAAAGTCAGTTTTTTGTAACTAAACTAACCTGCTAACATGACTCTTGAAATTTAAAAATTGGAATTTTTTGACGGTTTCGTCCAAAAAAAATTTTAAAGAAAAGTTGAACGCATTGAAGCCATACATTTATAAATTAATTCCCCTAATGTAATTTATGTTTAAATTTATGAGAGAAAAATAACTATTGTTTTGAATAGGTTGACCGGCTCTGCATCGGGCTACGAGAGTAGGCGGAGCACAAGATCCATTCCTAGCATACCCAGTCTCAGTGTGTGTAGATTATACAGGGAGAAGGTTTAGATCCACTCCTAGCATACCCAGTCTCAGTGTGTGTAGATTATACAGGGAGAAGGTTTAAATCCATTCCTAGCATACCCAGTCTCAGTGTGTGTAGATTATACAGGGAGAAGGTTTAGATCCACTCCTAGCATACCCAGTCTCAGTGTGTGTGTTTGTAGACTATACAGGGAAGAAGGCCTACATCAATTCCTAGCATACCCAGTGTCAGTGTGTGTAGATTACACTTGGAGAAGGTTTAGATCCACTACTATCATACCCAGATACATACAAAGGCAGAGAAAAGGTTTCCAAGTTATATACTAGTACAGGGAGAAGGTTTAGTCAGTTCTAAACAATACAGAGAGAAGGTTCAACCAGTTTCATACTAGTACAGTGAGAGGGTTTAACCAGTATCATACTAGCACAGAGAGAAGGTTTAACTTGATCTGTATGAGTACAGAGAGAAGGTTTAACCAGATTCATACAAGCACAGAAAGAAGGTTTAACCAGGTTCATACAAGTAGAGAAACACCAGGAACTATACACTTATATGTCTGCATGATGAGAGGAGTACATACAGGGAGAAGATTTAACCAGATCCATAATAGTACAGGGAGAAGGTATTCCTTGATCCATACTAGTACAGATAGAAAGATTAACTAGATACTAGAGGGAGAAGGTCTTCCTTGATCCATGCTAGTACAGATAGAAAGATTAACCAGATACCAGTACAAGGAAAAGGTTGAACTAGAAAAGTACAGAAAAAAAGTTTAACTAGATACATACTAGTACAGAAATAAGGTTTAACCAGATACATTAAAGTACAGGGAGAAGGTTAAAGTAGATACTAGTACAAGGAGAAGGTCAAAGTAGATACTAGTACAAGGAGAAGGTCAAAGTAGATACTATTACAAGAAGAAGGTCAAAGTAGATACTAGTGCAATGAGAAGGGCTAACCAGATTCATACTAGTACAGGGAGAAGGGTTAACTAGATACTAGTACAGGGAGAAGGGTTAACTAGATACTAGTACATGGAGAAGGGTTAACTAGATTCATACTAGTACAGGGAGAAGGGTTAACTAGATACTAGTACAGGGAGAAGGGTTAACTAGATTCATACTAGTGCAGGGAGAAGGGTTAACTAGATACTAGTACAGGGAGAAGGGTTAACTAGATACTAGTACAGGGAGAAGGGTTAACTAGATACAGAAGGGTTAACTAGATTCATACTAGTACAGGGAGAAGGGTTAACTAGATGCTAGAACGTTAAGTAGGTTTAATTATGTATAGCGAAGTATTACTAAAACCCACATTTTCAATGAAATTTTATGTTACTACCATCTGTGTAATTATGTCTCAAATGTAGTTATATGAGAAACATTTTTTGGTTAACATTATTTCAATTCTTACTTGTTCCATAATAGATAATGCTAGAGTAAAGTAGTCAATTCTAAATGTTCGAAATCTGCATGTTTTTTTCATGGATAATTTTATTCTAAATTTTTATAAATGCATTTTTCAATCGCATTTTGAAGTCTAAATTTTGTTTATGTTCATGAAATGTTCACAATTAATTTTAAAACCGTGCACTGTGCACTGTACAGCATAAAGTTTCAGCCTAAAGTTAAATGCTCGAAAATTTATAACAATTAAACATGTTAATTACTCAGTCTACTAAACTGTGATATAGTATCATGAGTGAAACTATTGTTAAACCTAATACTCGTTAACTATTCACAAAATTAATTAGAAATGATGCACAATCAATTTAAGATAATTTAAATTAAATTTTTCAGTTGATTTCTCTTTAAAATTTAGTCGAAACTTATCTCAAAAGATATCTCTTAAATTTGTCAAAAGTTCATAGCATTTGCAGTTAGATGCACAACTTTAATGTGATTTTTAAACTATACGCATAAACATATACAAGTATTGTTTCTGCTGTGTAGAATTCAACCATTATTATAGTTATTCAATATGCCACAATTCTATTCAATCCAGGTATATTACCTAACTGATGCATCAAACAAATTTGTCATTTAGAGCTACGTCTGATGAAATCTAGGTTTTAGTTTTGGTAGCTGTAGTCTATACTTTCAAAATTGATGCAATTTTTAAATTTCTAATACCATACTAACATTTTACTAGTTTATTTCTCAAATAAATAAGTATTTATTTATTTATATAATGATATATATGAAGATATATGGAATTTATTTATACATTAAAAAGTTAATGTTTTTGTTAAAGAAATTTACAGAAGTTCTTTAAATCAGTCTAAATTGTATTTTAAGATATGGTTTAAAATCTTTCAGGGAAAATGGCACAATCAAGGTTGGAAAAAATTGGAACGATTTTTTCCAAGATTCGAGGATTTCAAGCGAGTGGAGCTATTCAGCCTGAACAGGTATGTTTTGTAGATTTCTGGATAAATCTACATTCAATTTCGTAGAGTTCGAGAAATATATGAATATCAAAAAAAATGTGATTTATATTTTTTCTGTCGCCGAGATAAACTTTTAAAAATTCAACACGGTTCTGTACTGGAATAAGATTTTTGGAATAGACAGAAATGTAAACCAATCGTACAGGAGGCGAAAAATGATAAATTGGACATCAAAAGGCAAGCTTTTTGCACACTGTTATTTTTTACTCAAAAATTCATTATTTTCGCAATTCAGTGTATAAAATCTTTAAAAAATTATGACTTCTGGGGAAAATAGATTATTTTCATGGTTTGGATGGGGGGGGGGGGGGTTAATGATTTTTCAAGAAAATATATTCCTCTTGGCTATTACAAACGGAAGATTGTAGTTGCAAGGAATATGAATATAAGGAAAAAGACAGTATAAATTCCGTACAGTCCTCTCTAGAGTTCCATGTCCTTTGTGGGTAACACTGTATTACCACCGGCAACTTTTTTCTATTCTTATATATTTGCATTTTTATCTACAAACGAGTATTATATTATATAATGTTAACTGTTAAGAATGGTTATCTATGTATTTTGGACAAAAGAAAACAGAAAATGACAAACTTTTAAGATAATTTTAGTTATGAATATTATAAGAAACAATTTACAAAAAAATAAAGAACTTTTGAACTATCATGCAAAAGAGTGATATCATATTTTGAATATTTTTAGGTTCCACTTTGGTATAATATATACGAAGCTTTCCCTCCCAAATACGAACCAAGATGGGATCGGAAACCAACCAATAATCCAATCAAAAAAATTCTTTATAAAGAGGTAAATATAATCTCTGTTTTAACTTGTGTTGTTGCAAATATACAGGATATCCCATATCATATTAGATTGTGTAATGTGTATAGCTCTAAATTGTGATTTTCGGGGCTAATCTGAAAATTTTTGAAAAATAATTTTTTTTTTAATTATAAAAATTCTTACAAAAAAACTAGGTTTTGAGTATTATGTGCGTATTTTGGCGTTAACGCTTTGAGATAATCCAATATGATATAGTATGGAGACGTCGCGTCGATCTCCAATAAGACAAGGAAGTTTTCTCGAGTATATATTTTACTGATAACTATAACAACAAGACTGGATAAAAATGTCGGAATCAATCACATTGTTCTAAACGAGAGATGCAGCGCAGGATTCACAACCCTTTTCTTTGTTTACGGCCTTTGTGTTAGGAGGCCGCCAGGTCTCGTCTTCCACAATAGTTTATTTAAAACAATATTATTTTAAGTTTTGATTTAAAAAATCCTTAGTAATAAAAGAATAAAATGTATATCTAAAAAAAATATTTATCTTATATTATTTGGATTAATTAGATACATAATCATTATTCTTGTAAAGAAAGTGATTATGAACCTTTGTAATTGTTTAGGATGTTATAAGAGCCAAATATTATCAAACCTTCGGGAATAAAGAGGTTGTGAACCTCCAAGTGGACGGAAATCTAGCTTCACAAACCTTTATCAATAAATATCTAAGCTTGGAGCAGGAGGGTCATCCTGCTGACTCACTTTGGGAGAGAACAGTCCAGGTATAGGATTACCATGTAGACGTTGAACTCTTCTGATAATCCGAACTAACTTTATGATTTCGGCCCTGATTCACATTTTAATAGGTAACGATTGCATAAAGAGTGGCATGTCCGATTCCCAGCGGTGTCCTTTGAAAAGAAGATAAATAGTAAAGTTACTTTCGGATTTATTATAATGGTGAAAATTTTTAGAACTACACTTGTCAAGCAAGGTAAACGACGATATCTTTCATATTATCGACAGATTAAGATTGCAAGGGTATCTTTGTGAATCGGGCATTGCCCTCTTAAAATAATGCGTTGCTTGAAATTACTTCTACAGTCCCTTTAAGCCAAGAAAGGTTAAGGTAACTAACTATAAATTTACCAATAAAACATGAGGAAAAGGTCGGTGCGGAAAAGAACCCATTTTTTCCATTTTTGATCTGACTGTATTTATATTATTTGATCTTTTCAGGCGCTAGAACTAGATAAAGAAGCTACGATAGAAAACGACGAATTAACCACACCCAAGAGACCGGAGAAAATATCATTTAAAGATTTATTTAACGAGAAGGATAATAAAATATAGTTTCAGAAGGTTAAAATGGTTCCCAGGGATATAACTAAAATGTTGACTGATATCTTACAAATAGCAGACACAAAATCACTATTAGAACTAGGCAACGGTTTATACAAACTTTTTATTTAACTTTTTTAAATAGCAAAATTATTTAAGTTAAAAAGTTAAAGAAATCTTTTCATTTAGCAAAATTGTAAAAGTTAGAAAGTTACGAAATAATTTTAAAATAGCTAAATTATAAAAGTTTGAAGTTCAAGAAATCTTTTCAAAAAGCAAAATTATGAACGTTAAAAAGTTTAAGAAATTTTTCAAATAGCAAAATTAAAAAAATTAGAAAGTAAAAGAAATAATTTTCAAGTAGCAAAGTTATAAAAGTCAGAAAGTTAAAGAAATAATTTTCAAATGGCAAAATTAAAAAAGTGAAAGTTTAGGAAATCTCTTTAATAGGCAAATTTTAAAAGTTAAAAAGCTAATGGAACTGTTAATTCAAAATTACCGATAGTTTATTGAAAATTTTACTAAAAAAAGTTTATTTCGTTTTGTTTAATATTTACTATCGACACAGTAAATGCTAAGAAGACGATAGTCTTACGGCTTTCAATTATACGTTAAATATATAGCATGCAATATCATCTATTCATAATATGAAGATTTGAAATAAATTCATTTACAAACAGTGTTTTCTTTCTGTTTTTTTCAGATAAATGGAATAAGTCATACAAATACAATTTACTTGTTGACCAGTTTTCGTAAAGTTATGATTAATGTTAGCAAAAGAAAAGTTCCTGGGGCCGATAAACCGACTGTACACTCGGAAGGCTGACAGCAAATCCTCTGATTTGATTGTATGGAAACAGTTTAAGTTTGTAACTATTCATCAAATATATGGGATGTTGTTTGACTAATTTAAACTTCTTTCCTACGTGTTAACATGACGTTTTGTATCTGGTTCTTGTGTTTTTCATGCTAAAGCACAAGAGAATAAAATTCTTATTTTTCAATACCAAATTCAATCTTATACAAGGATTAGACAACATTTCAAGTGACGTTTTCTTTGAAAAGGGGGACGTCAGATTCCCAATGGTTCCCAGAAAACCTTCATCTGAACTAAATGTGAACGATATCGTCGTTTTAGCTTTTAAAGTGTTTTCTCCATTGTTTCTGTGCTCGCAAATCCCTGGAGTAGAGAAATCTGTGCTCGCAAATCACTGGAGTAGAGAAATCTGTGCTCACAAATCACAATTGAAATATCAAAGAATTTCAAGAAAAATCAGAGATCTGTTTTAATCTTGATCAGACCAAGTTGTCAAGGATATCTTGTTTGTGAAGCGTACATATCACTCTGGAAATGGAGTCACTTGTACTACCGTTATACGGATAATATTGGTTACTACTGTACTATGATAAAACTTAGTACATTTCTAGGAATCCGTTTAATCAAAATCAACAGAAATGAAAATACTTTTTTAAATGACAGAATATTTAACTTTTAATAATACGACAAAGAAACTCCGTTAATGATCTACTTTACACTGAGAAGATTAGTATTGGTTAAAAAATGTCTGATCTTATAAGGCTGTACTGAATTTAAGTAAAATTTTAACATTTGTGAACTGAAAAAAATACAGGGTGTCCCACGAAACATGAGAGTAGCAAAACGACTTGAACATCATCTTTCCTTTTTGATCTAATTTGCTGCATTTATTTGTCAGCTTAATTTTAGAAGTAACATTGGTTAACACAAAAAGCAGACCACATTTTGGAAACGCCAGAGCTAGGAGAATTTTGTGGTTATTGTTTCAAGAATCATAATCAATCATATCAATATAATGAAGACGACTTTTTTGTTAAGTTTTAATTATCAACAAGCTTTTTCCGAATTACAAGTTAAAAGTAATTAAAGAAAAGCTTTTTTTAATTGAAAGCTTTTCTTTGTTTCCATGTTTTTGTGTTTCCAATCCATGCTGTTTAAAAAGGTTGATAAAAATAAAGATTTAAATCGAAAGTCGTCTTGACGGCTAAATGTCACAAATAAAAAGATTAAGACTTTTTTCAAGTCGTCTTGGGGCAATCTGCAGATGTTTTCTAAATTGATGTAAAAACGTTGAAGTGAGAAATATCGAGCTAAAAGGAGTTGCAGCTGGTGAAAGTCAAGAAGCACATGGTGTTCAAGAACTTAATGTTGTGGTGGAAGCTGTACAACTACTGCTAGATCTCCACGGAGAACCTCAGAGAAGGTTCAATTCATTTGCGCAATTTTTTTATTTTGAAATTTTAGGTAACATTAGATTAAAAATAAGAGAGAAGGACTTAAACGTAATTGTGACCCATTTATAGAATGGCAAGTCCGATACACAACGGTACCCTTAAAAGGTTTGTTACAGCAAGAATGAATGAGTTATCCATTTTTCATTTAATGAAATTTCATTATTTTCAGTTGGGGTTTCTTTATATTATGAGACTTGCGGATATCTGCTCATAGAAACAACAGGCTGTAGTTTCCAAAATTTTAGACTTTTCAGTCAAACTAGAAAAACAACTACGTCCTCCACATAATTTATCAGATAAAGGTATAGAGTGCACTGTTGTGAATCGGACAGGTCCATGTTAAAATGGATTGTCACTTAAATAAAACTTACTGTACTTTTTAGTGCTTAATATGTGGGTCATATTTGCTTAAATTGTGTTTTTATCAATTGAATGTAATTCAGAAAAAATTTGAAAATCTCAGTGTTCGGTGTTATTTGTACATTTTGTAATACTTAAATAATTCTAGATACCACTGTACATTTTAATTAGTACAATCTGTAATACGTAAATAATTCTAGATACCACTGTACATGTTTATTTGTACAATTTGTAATACTTAAAAAATTCTAGATACCACTGTACATGTTTATTTGTACAATCTGGAATACTTAAATAATTCTATTTACCACTGTACATGTTTATTTGTACAATCTGTAATACTTAAATAATTCTATATACCACTGAACATGTTTATTTGTATACAATATGTAATACTTAAATAATTCTAGATACCACTGTACATGTTTATTTGTATACAATCTGTAATACTTAAATAATTCTAGATACCACTGTACATATTTATTTGTACAATTTGTAATACTTAAATAATTCTAGATACCACTGTACATATTTATTTGTACAATTTGTAATGCTTAAATAATTCTAGATATCATTGTACATGTTTATTTATACAATCTCTAATACTTAAATACTTCTAGATATCAATGAACATGTTTATTTGTACAATTTGTAACACTTAAATAATTCTAGATACCACTGTACATGTTTATTTGTATACAATTTGTAATGCTTAAATAATTCTAGATATCATTGTACATGTTTATTTATACAATTTGTAATACTTAAATAATTCTAGAAATCAATGTACATGTTTATTTATACAATCTCTAATACTTAAATAATTCTAGAAGTCAATGTACATGTTTATTTGTAAAATTTGTAACACTTAAATAATTATAGATACCACTGTACATGTTTATTTGTACAATTTGTAATACTTAAATAATTCTAGATACCACTGTACATGTTTATTGCAAGATTACATCTGGGAGAAATTGAATACTGGACACTGGAAGGTAATTTATTAAAGGCTGTCCTAGCCACAGCGCTTGGCCCCCATTGCAGCCTGCTGCGCCTTAGAATGCCTAACCCAACCTTTGGAAAATTGCACACTGGGAAAATATCTAACACCAATTCATTCTTTCTTAATTCTATTTTTATAATTATAATTATAATTATAACTATAATTATAATTATATTATAATTATAATTAGAGATAAATTATCTTTTTATAATCAGGAAGTGAAACGAGAATGGAGAGACCTATATGCTTTAATCTCTTTAATAAGGTGAATAATTGACATTTTATGTATATTTTTCTATTTCAAATTGTTCATACCTCAAATTTAATCTAAATGTTATTTTTTCAGGATTAGCTGTGTTGTCGAGCTAAGACTAAAATTTACAACATTGTGCAGAGACAAGACAAGATATTCTGGAAAAAGAAAACGAACCTCAGATCACAATAATGTCATTGGTCCTGGATCAGAACCCAATAACTTAGCCTCAAATCCTGGTGATAGCATTGATCTTGAATCTGGAGATCAATGCCAATCTGAAACCGAGCCAAGTATTCGTAAAGAATTAGCTAAAATTGTACCTGCAACAGAACCCAAGTTTGAACAAGATCCTAATCCTGGACCTGGACCTGATCATGAACCTTATCTTGCTCAGGGTTCGGGTTTAACCATTTCGATGGAAAAGGATGATATCGAGCTGATAGAAGAGTTGGTTAGAATTGCAGATATGGGATTGCTTCTCGGAGCACCTATTCATAATAACGCTCAAGAGAGAATAGCAGAGATTCTAACAGAATTCTTAGCACAGGTTTAATAAATTGAATTCGTACCTCATTGGATTTTTAAAATTGTAAAGTTTAAGACGACATTCAGTACTATCTTAACTTAATATTTTAGGACTTGTGCTCCCTGCCCAGTAAGATATCATTTAAGAACGAAAAGGAGTTTACTCTGGAGAAGGTTGCGATTCATTTACCTGAACCTTGTAAACCATTCCGTCCAGTTCCTGATTGTTTGGAGCCGAGTATAGAGGAGTTTGTCGCTGATTTTATGGTTCCAGGTCACCCTGTAGTTCTCACAGGTAGAAATAACCTTTTATACAGGGTTACCAACAAAGGGTGATAATAATATTCTTTATACTAATTCTTTTCCTAAATTACTTAGTTTAAAAGTATAGCTGTTTCCAAGGTTATAATGCAAGGAAAGTTAATTGCAGTTGCGTATACTCTGCGTACATATTGAAACCAGTTCTCATTGGGTGGAATTTGTTAATAATAATAGGTGCATCAGTGTTCGTTCATTATCCGAGGAGGTTTAAAGCATTGAATTTTGAAAATTTTGATAATTCACATAATAGTCTCCTATGACCAGAATATTTCATTGATTTTTTATGTGAAAAATGGATCCCATGTTAAGCTGTGACATCCGTCTTGTGTTTACATTACCGCCTAGAGACAGTACACTGCAGTAAAAAAGATGCGTACACCTCTGAAATAACTTTCCTTGCCTTATACTGTACACAGTACTGTAAAGGCTGTATGTCAGACTGGCCAGCAATGTCAGAGGCGCGGCGTTGGGGCCCAACACGTCTGGTTGCTCTGGCAGGACCTCGTACTGTACCAGTAGAGCTGGGTAGGAACTACACGCATGCGCACTGGACTCAAAAACTAATGACCGTCAGAGAGTTTGCTGAGAAGTAAGAAATTTTTTTCTTTAAGTTGAAACACTTAAGGAAAATATGATTAAGAATAAAAAATAACGAAGAAAAGATGGAGAAAAGAAAACAATTCAAATCAGTGTAAAAAGTGAAAAGTTATAAATTTAGATTCTGCCTGTTCTGTATTACTTTTAGACTTAATAGACTTTAAACTTTATGAGATACTGTTTTAACTCCAACATTTACGTTTGATCTTAGTTGTAATACTGTGGTCAGCATATATATCAATACAAAATTGTTTACTGTAATCATGATAAGATACAGAGGCTTACTTATATTTCATTAGTATACGGCATTCAAATTCTACAAAATGAGGGTGGTTGGTATTATTTATACCAATGAGTTGTCGGGTACATAAATTGTATTATATTACCATTTCGGTATCTGACACTTTATTGATATATACGCTGACCACTATATATAAAAAACTAGTTTTTATTGCTAGATATCTTGTGGATGATCCGAGTGAGGTTGGATACCTAGCTCAACATCAACTACTGGATCAGGTTCAAGCATTGATAAATCAGAGGTTGGAAATAATGAATAGTGGAAAATTATATTTGAACTACATAGATTTGGATAGTTAAACTTGTTTTTTGGTAAGACCGATAGTTTACTGGGAAAAGCAGTTGAGCTAGGCATTCCTAATTTAAAAACTTTTCCATAATAATTAATTCCAACCTCAATGGAGATAATGTTGTAGTATTGACCAGAAATCCAATTAAAAACCCTTCTTCAAGAAATGTCGTCTTATAAAAAAAAAACCTCCCCTCCATCCCAGAGCAACCCAAACCAAATACCTCCGACATCAGATACAAAAAAATCATTGAAAAGTGAAAACGTTTAAATTTTTAAATGCTTAAAATCCGTGATGAAGTCTGCAATCATCAACAATTTTATTTAACCAACCGGGTATTTATCTTCAGAAGTCATATAACGTTTTAAACCAGATCCCATCACTCCTTAATTTCCCCCACATATACCCCAATAGTAAGTTTATATAAGTAAAAAGTAACAACGATTTATACCATTATTTTATTTATTAAAACTGTATTTTTGTTTGTAGGTTTGAAGTAGAGTTATTTTATTTTTAACTTGTGTATGTTAAGTAAAGGAGATATCAATGTATGGTTATTGTTTAGGTCCCACAGTTGGGAGATGATGTGTGTATCCCAGATTACTGCTATACAGGAGAGGATGAGGATGTGGATATCAATGTATGGATATTATTTAGGTCCCACAGTTGGGTGATGATGTGTGTATCCCAGACTACTACTATACAGGGGAGAATGAGGATGTGAATATCAATGTATGGATATTGTTTAGGTCCCACAGTTGGGAGATGATGTATGTATCCCAGATTACTGCTATACAGGGGAGGATGAAGATGTGGATATCAATGTATGGATTGGACCAGGGGGAACAGTTTCTCCTCTACATACAGATCCCAAACATAATCTTTTATGTCAGGTTTACTGTATATTATATTAAATGATTTCATGAAGTTGTCCGGGCCAAGATTAAACCCTATTCATAAAATAATAAGCTTTTTTGTTTGGTTTTCTTGATTGAAATGATCTAGACTAAAAGTAGTTTTGAAATATCGTCATGAATTTTAATCGAAAATATGTTTTATTTAGGTAAGTGGTACGAAGTATGTTGTTCTCTATCCTGTAAACGAAAGTAAGAACTTGTATCCCCATTCCTCACCCCTGCTCTTCAATACAAGTCAAGTTGATCTTCAAGAACCAAACCTAGATCTTTATCCTGGGTTCTCAAACACTCAGGTATCCTTATCCTAACCTAGACCTTTATACTGGGTGATCAAGTACTCAGGTATTCTCAGCCTAACCTAGACCTTTCTCCAGGGTTCTCATATACTCCGGTATCATTATCCTAACCTAGACCTTTATACTGGGTGATCAAGTACTCCGGTATCCTTATCCTAACCTAGACCTTTATCCTGGGTTCTCATATACTCAGGTATCCTTATCCTTTCCTAGAGCTTTTCCTGGGTTCTCAAGTACTCCGGTATCATTATCCTAACCTAGACCTTTCTCCAGGGTTATCAAGAACTCAGGTATTCTCAGCCTAACCTAGACCTTTATCCTGGGTTCTCAAGTACTCCGGTTTCCTTATCCTAACCTAAGCCTTTTTAATGGCTTGTTAAATACTCAGGTAATCTTATGCTAACCTAAACTTCCTGAGTTCTAAAATACTTTTTTATTTCCTAAAAGATAAAAATTTGAATTGTGGTGGACAAATCGTCTCATATGATTTCATGTGGTTGATGATTGATATATTTCAGGGATATCATACACTTCTCCGTCCCGGGGAGATGCTCTATATTCCGCCTGGAGTCTGGCACTTCGTTACAAGTCTGTCCACCAGCTTTTCGGTCAGCTTCTGGTGGAAATAAACCTTGAATAAACCGGTCAGCTTCTGGTAGAAATAAACTCTTTGTTGATTTTTTGTCATCTTCTGATGAAATGAAATTCTGTTTATTTTCTAGAAGCTTTTGGTGGAAATAAACCTGAAGTACATTCACTATCTCATGGTAAAATCAATTAAGCAACTAATATACCAGTCAAGATAGAAATTTTGTTTAACGACTGATATACCCATGTGATAGAAATGAATTTTCGATATTGTGATAATTATTATATTTTGTGATAAATTAAAAGAGATTTTTTTGTCAACGTTTTTAGATTATATTCCGGATTACTCACTTCAAGGAATAACAGATATTGATAAAATGGACAGAACGTGGTGAGCGTCAAATGTCGATGATTAAGGTATTAAATGTAGAGAAAAGATGGAGAGAAATTATTTCAGGTTTGCCCCGGCTCGTATTTAGGAACTTGTAAAGGGAGGTGCACAACATTTAAGAATAGAAAAGATTTAGAAGTAGGGTGCGCGCTGCACACGAAACATTTGGTTGACCTATGTTCGAATTTAATGAATTTAAGCCGCGTCTCAAATCCCTTTAAAACCCGTTTCGATTGAGCGCCGGCTTAAATTTTGAAAACTTTTAGTGGCCCCAACCAAATTTGAGCCGTGGTGGCTCAAATTCTTTAAATTCGGTCTCTAGAAAACTCAATTAGGGTCAAATTAATGAATTAAGTCTAAAAAATTAGATCTTTAACTCGCTTATCAAACATTATATAGGATATTAAGACAGATATTTTCCCTGTTTACTTTCCAGTAAGTGCTATTGAAAAGCTATTTGCATCAAAACAAAAAAATGGCGGTGTAAGATGCAGAAATTTGAGTTCAAATTATCAATTATCATGGAAAGCTCAGCTTAAAAATCTTCAGATTTCTCAAAACTAAAATTCGTAAAAAACTTTCATTACAAACAGCTTCTCCTAAATCTGGCCATATTTTCCATAAATTTGTCTCCATGTTACTTTTTGTAGTACGATGTTTCATTAGAATCATTAATCTAAGAAAAGAAGGAAAAGGCATAGATATGCAAGAGATCGCCAATGCAGACTGTAAAGCTTAAAAATTGTACAACCCCTTGTACTTACAGAACGTCCCATATCATATTAGATTATCTCTAATCTTTAACGACAAAATAAACCCTTAATACTCGAAAAACTTATGATTTTCAGCAAGAAAATTATTATACAAGCTTTATGTTATTTTTCAAATTGATTTATTCTAATTAAATTTTCTTATTAGTCCCGATGACGGTCTAATATGATGTGGGACACCCTGTATATAGCAGAATTCAAAGTTTGAAATATCAAAAGCCTGTAGCGTCTGATTGCAAAGATATAGGAATGAGGAAATTAGAGTTTGGGGTAAGCGTTCAAATTGGTTTGTCTCCTAAAACTAATTCTTTTAAAATATTGGATATTTAACCTACTCTCCTCCTGGTATAATCAAACGAGGTCTAGAAGTCAGGAAATCCAATCTAGTTGGACTGCAGGTAGCCTGATACTGTACACCCCCCTCCTGTCATCTCCCCAGGGGGCATATACCCCCACTCCACCCCCGTACACGGTACAAAAGGGGGGGGATTCGTCCAATGGAATTTTATCTTGTCAAAAGTGAGTCTTGTTCAATTTACCAGAATTATTTAGAGCATGTTGGAATTTCTTAGGAATAAATGAGGTTATCATTTTTAAATTAAAAAATTAAAACATTTAATAAATTGCTGTTTTAGATTGCTAACTGCAAATTGTTATCTTGTTCTTAGTAAACCAGGCTCAACTTAAAAAATCATAGAAATCAACAGTTCAATTCTGAACGTCTTAAATTTATTAAGAACTCGAATTAAGAATGTCAATGATTATGCATTTTGCTCACTTTATAGTACAGGGTGTCCTACGAAACATGACTGTTGGTGAATAGTTTAAACTGTCTTCTTCCACACGTTTGATACCAAAGAGAAAAAATATTGTATGGTAGTAATCTTGTCGTAAAATTGAGTTCAAAGTCAAATAAATTTGGGTAAAAGATTTATTTAACGAAATAAACTGCAACAAGTATTGAATATTTAATACATTATTTGGTAGAAGACATTTAAAAATATTCACCAACTGTCATGTTTCTTGGGACACCCTGTCCCTAAAATAAATTAATAAGTTTATTTCGTAGTTTTTTACTTTGAAAAGTCTGAAAATATCCTCCCCTGTTCCTAAAGCAGAACTCTGCTAGGAACTTTTTAGAGAACCCGCAGAAGAAAACAATTAATTTTTTACGATAATGGATATCCCAGCTCAGCCCTTCAGGGTCCCCGAGAAAATTTGCTGTACTAAATAAAACTATTAACATTAATAATCATTAAACTATTTCGATCCTTTAATCTCCAGGGTATGTTAAAAAACAAAAAAAATGATAAAACTAATTATAAGCTACAATGTTTTACAAAAAAGTTTAATTTCTCTAACATATGAAATATGAAATCCCCAAAAGAGGATTATAAAATCTTAAAATCAGTAGCGTTGGATTCTTGAATCAGAGAAGACCTACTCATCTTCCTCTCCTTTTATATACTCGTTATTTTTATGTATTTTTTATCTAAAGGGAATAAATATACTTCTAAAATCCGCACATTTTTGCATATCCGGAACCAGGAAACAAAATGTTGCGGATCCAACGTAGTGCGTTTTCACACTGAAGTTTTTACCTCAGTTTGGATTTTTACTCTTCCTTTAACCAAAACCAAGATTCCCCCCCCCCCCGGGCCCAGTAGTAAACAAGGATCAAAATATTTCTAAAAAGATGGATATTATTTGATTGGTAACATATCTGAACAATTATAAAATCAAAGAAATTCTTATTTTGGCTGGGAGCGTCGATCATTCTGACCCTCAGAACCATCTCTGAGTGGAAAGACGGACTCAGTTGCGTTCCTGGTATCAAAAATATGATTAACTTTTTTATTTCAATCCTTTTTTGGGCTTTTGGTAGTCATTAAAGTCTACAGCTTCAGTTTAAGACGACATTAGGTAGTAAAATGGCGCTACATTAGTCTCCTAGATTTTTTTTACCTGTTGGACAAATCGAAGACGATTATAACTCCAACAGCACCACGATAACAGCTCGCTAAACATTTATAACAAATGAAAACACAAAAAAGTAAAGAAAAAATTATTTAAGCCACTTTTATTAAATTTGTATACACATTACACAATTAAATTGGTCTGAATATAACCTATTCCAAAAGGCAATAACACCTTAAATTTTAGGGATTGTTAAAGGGTCTATAAACGTAATTTCAAACGACCCTCGATGCAAAGATGGCAATGTCTGATTTACAATTCGATGCCCTTGAATGAAAATACAATCTGATCATTAATGTGGAAGATAATTGAATTAATCCGTACAAAGGTGACCACTCCAGAAAATACAATCTGATCATTAATGTGGAAGATAATTGAATTAATCCGTATAAAGGTGAACACTCCAGAAAAACCAAAGAAGTTTTGCCTTCTTTTTCTGCCGTTTAAGAGTATTGGATATTCGGATTTTAGATGTTGGGTTGGTGGTATAGAAGAATATCAATTATTTATTTTGTAATTTTGAAATTTCACAAAAAATCTAAATAAAAAAAATGATTTAATTGATGCTCAAAGAGAAATCCATAAACTAGGGAAAATAAAATTAAAGAGAGGCGCGAAGCGCCTTGGGGTTTTGGTATTCAATATTTATTATGACTCCCTGTACGTACAATGTAAGTGTTTTACATCATTACTAAACTAAGAGGAGGAGCGAAGGGGAAATAATTGTTATAGTTTCCGAACCATAGAATCACAATACAATCTACTCCTCTCACTGTATGCGGCAGAAACAGTCGGAGAAAGAGAAGTGTGATGTTACTTCCGGTTTCTCGCTTCCATTTCCGGTCTGAGTATTCTTACAGCATTGTAGGAGGAGGAGACTAGAAGTTTTGAGTCTAACCTTTCTCCGGCTTTGGGTTGATATACTGCGCTAAATTCTTTAAACTGTAGTTTGAATCAAAATGAATATCATTGTTTTTTATCTAATTATTTGAAATAATTGTTTCTACAGAATAAAATAAAACCACACAAACAATTATGTTCAGCTAGAAAAATAAGGATATCTCATTCATCCTTGATCAGACATGCCATGCCACTCTTTAAAGTGGGGTTTACTTGACTTGAAATTATTCTGCTTTTTTAAGAATAAAATATTTCTACAAGTGGTATAACCCAGTCAACAGCTGATTTTATTAGAAATTAAATTAAAATTCATGTTATAAAAACTTCATTAAATCCTACTGATGCAAAAACCTTCAATTTGATACACATCAATGTGCGGGTTTATTTTTCATAGGTGAAGGAGGGGAGTGCATTTTTTGTATTTGTTAATTCATTAAACATTCAGCAGATTTTCTACTTATAACTCTTGTCAGCCCTAAACCTAGAAATAAACATAAGGGGATTTATATCGGAATCTCACTAAACCTTAACCTTGAAATATACCATAATCTCCATAAACCTTAACCTTGAAATATCCCTTAATCTCCGTAAACCTTAACCTTCAAATATACCTTAATCTCCGTAAACCTTAACCTACCAATATACCTTAATCTCCATAAACCTTAACCTAGAAATAAACCTTAATCCCCATAAACCTAAACCTTGAAATATACCTTAATCTCCATAAACCTAAACCTTAAAATATACCTTAATCTCCATAAACCTAAACCTACCAATATACTCTAATCTCCATAAACCTAAACCTAGAAATAAACCTTAATCTCCGTAAACCTTAACCTAGAAATAAACCTTAATCTCCATAAACCTAAACCTACATAAACCTAAACCTACCAATATACCCTAATCTCCATAAACCTAAGCCTAGAAATATACCTTAATCTCCGTAAACCTTAACCTAGAAATAAACCTTAATCTCCATAAACCTAAACCTTGAAATATACCTTAATCTCCATAAACCTAAACCTTAAAATATACCTTAATCTCCATATACCTAAACCTTAAAATATACCCTAATCTCCATAAACCTAAACGTAGAAATAAACCTTAATCTCCGTAAACCTTAACCTACAAATATACCTTAATCTCCATAAACCTAAACCTACCAATATACCTTAATCTCCGTAAACCTAAACCTAGAAATATACCTTAATCTCCGTAAACCTTAACCTAGAAATACTTAATCTCCGTAAACCTTAACCTAGAAATAAACCTAAACCTTGAAATATACCTTAATCTCAATAAACCTTAACCT